AGTACCAGGCAGTGACAGCCACCCTGGAAGAGAAGAGGAAGGAGAAGACCAAGATCCATTACCAGAAGAAAACACAGCTTATGAGGCTACGGAAGCAAGCAGAAAAGAACGTGGAGAAGAAATCAGCAAGTTCACAGATGTCCTCAAGACCCATGGACTCCTGGTGTGAGCCAAATAAAGACTTTATGCCTCAAAAAAAAAAAAGAAAAGGATATCTGGTGCTGAGTGTGTTAGAAATTTATCTTTTAGGATTATTTCCTCTCTGTGACTCTGGTACAATGTTAGTATGCTTTTGTAAAGCATCCCTAAGTCTCTGTAGAAAAGCTGCTGGGGTTTCTAAGGGTCCTTGTTGTACAGTCATGACTTGGGAGTAATTAAGAGGTTTTACCTTGGCTCTCTTAGACCCTCAAGAATGCAGTGGATGAAATGGTTAAAGGTACATTCATCCTTGTCATTGTTAGCATCCCACTTAGGGTCATACCTAGATACTGCCTGATCTCCTGTTGGAATTGGGAATCGAGGTTCCCTTCTAGGTATCCAGTGTCTTTGTCTTTCTTCTCCTGGCCTCTCCTCCTCCTGTGAGGGCCCAGTCTGAGACAGGCCTGTAGGGCCGCTTTTATCTAAGTGATAATTGTCTCCAGCTTTGACTGCCTGATCTAATACACGCTGTTTCTTCAGAGCAGTAAGGGTCTGAGATAACAATGTCATTACATCTTTCCAGCTCAGTTCAAGTTTTGGTTGACTTCTATAAATGTGGATGTACTGATCTGGGTTTTCTGTGTAATTTCTTAAATCCTTTTTTATATCTATAAGTTCACTCACTCTAGGAATTAACTGAAAGGGGGAGAGTCCTGTGGGATGATGTCTGGTGTATGAGGTAGCTGGGAAGGGAGGTGAGGGGGAGCTGATGGAGCATCAGATGAGTTCAAGGGAATTTGGGGGCTTTTTGCAAAGGGTCACCATGGTCTGGGTATCTAGCCTGCATTTGTTCAGCCATTCTGGGTGGTCTCTTAGGAAAATGAACAGTTGAACATATGGGACCTTGCTCCACTTTCCCTCTGTTTTACAGGACATATCTAATTGAAGAATGGTATTATAATTAATGCTGCCTCTTTCTGGCCATCTTTCCTCATCTCCCAGAGGACACTGTGGCCAAGCCTGGGTGCAGTAAAACTTGAGTTGCTTTCGTTAAAATTAATATTTTAGTAAGCAGGCAAGAGGGATCCTTCCTGGATCCTTGAGGCTTGATTCCCCATCTAAAAAGGGAAACATGGGAAAATTGGTCACCTTAACAGAGGTTTCTCCTTTTATCTAGGCATCCCCAGTTGAGGAGAAACTCTAGTCGGAGAGGGAGTCCCTCTCTCCCTTGCTCTCCTGCCACTGCCACCGTGGCTAAGGTTGTGCAGAATTTTTAGGTTTTTCGGGAGCAGCCACCCCACAGAAATGACCTCTGACCAATTTCTTATCTATTTTGACCTGCCTGTTTGCCCTGCAACCCAGGTACCTAGCTCTCCTCTACCAGCTGAAGGCTTGTTAATTTAAAAATAACTCTTATCAAAGTACCAAAGAGGGCTTGCATGGCCAGAGGGAGGACCCCTGCAGAGGCGTGGATCGGACTCCTGATGAAGTAGACTTTTGTCCCTCTGTATATCCTGTGAGGCATATATGCTTTTTATGAAAAGAGAGAGAGCGTCTGAAGGCTTTTGCTATGGTAAGGGACAAAAACGGAGAAGACCATGAGGTCTCTGCCTTTTAACTGTTTCTTTTTTCCCCCTGGGGGCAAGCTGCTGAACCTGTTTAACCAGTTTAACCAGATGCTGACAAAGACAGTTAAGCCTAAATTAGAGACTAGCACTTTCTGGGGCCTGCAGGGATTTTTCCCAAACTCCCTGAAGAAGGGAGCCCACTGCTGTTTAGGGCAAAGGAGGGGAGGGGGACACACATCCTGAACTACTTGGGAAAGGGGAAAGAGAGGCAGTGGATTGGGGGAAAAGAGAATTTCCAAGCTAAACGCATGAGGGATTATTGGTCATCCCTGCTGTCCAGGTCGATCCTGCCCAAAGGCAGTACTGGAGCACTGGAAGGAAGGGATGACCTCCATTCTCTGGCCATGGAAACCATGAACTAAGCATAAAAGATCTGATTGTCTTTTTCTGTGGACAAGGCTGGAAGGGTTTGAGACTTAGCCACCTTTGGAGCCTCGGGGCAGGTCAGGAAGTTGCATCTCCAGCCTTTGGTGACACCTGTGAGTGCCCCGGCCAGAACACCTTTATAGCTGGAAGAGAAACTTTCCTTTCCACTAGCTGTTTTCAGACCTCCTCCTAAGCGGGTCAGATCTTGAAAGAGAGAGAGAGAGTTTAAGGAGAGGAAAAAAACCTCAATGCACTGAAGTCTGGCTCCACCCACGTAGCATTAGCAGTCCAATATAAGCCCCTGGCCAGCCCCCTAGTTCTCTCAGGTTGCCTGCTTCACAGCTTTAATGGGTTCAGAGCTTTTCCTCAGGCTCCCAAGGAAGAAACCCTCCTTAAGAAGAGAGAGAGGGAGAAAGGTTGGCTTGAGAGGTCCACTATAGCTAGGCCATGGTGGGAGGCTCTCCTGGAGAACAGACTCCATTGGAGTGCTGTACAGTCATGGTCACATTCTTAGGCAGCCTTTCCCAGTTAGGCACAACCTATACCAACTTTGGTTCAGAAGAAATGTCCCTTTGTGGTCGCTAAATATGATGCACAGATGACATGTGCTGGAATTTCAGGTGCTCAGGGTTCTTGAGCCTCCTCTGAGAATGAAAGCACAGGTGGACTCAGGTGCTCAGGGTTTTTGAGCCTCCTCTGAGAATGAAAGCTGCAGAGGTCAGAAAGATTTTATTTGTAGAGAAGAGAAGAGAAAGACTGCATAGTGGGGAATTCAGGGGGACCCAGAAACCAGTGGTTCCATGGGTCAGGGTGAGGATTGGGTTTTTATAGCCTTTTTGCAGTGCCTGAGGGCAGAGATGTCTCTCAGGTGCAGACAGAGGTTTCCTGGGAAGAAGAGGTGTCTCCTTGACCATTTATCACCTTTTGGGACCTCCTGCAGTCCATCCTTTACTATCACAATGCCAGTCAGGGTAACACATTCTGTTCGTTCACAACCTTTGTTTCAGCAGTTACCTGAGCTTGGAAGATTTGTTCCATCCACAAATAATTACCAGGTGTTTTTTTGTGTGTGGCCTGGCTCTTAGATTGAGGATAGAGGCAAAAGGAGATAGGCCCTACCCCTCCCAGTTGAGACAATATGCAAATGTGTAGCGTCAGATCCCCGGATAGTAAAGTGATGAGGAAGTGCAATGTCGGATAAAGATAAAAGGAGAGGGCTGGGGGTGCAGCTCAGTGGTTCAGCGCTTTCCTAGCATGCACAGGGCCCTGGGGTAAATTCCTGGTACCACGCATGCATGCACGCACACATGCGCGCGCACACACACAAAATGCTAAGAAGAGAGGCTGGGCTTTGAATGTCAAACAAAAGAAGCTAAAACCCAACAGTAGGAAAAAGGTGGAAAGAGGGTGGGTATATGGCAGGTTCAGTAGGTCACTTTTTCTTTGTTTTCCTTCTTGTCTTCTTTCTTTTTTTTTGCATGGGGATTGAACCCAGGGACTTGTGCATGTGAGGCACAAGCTCTACTACTGAGTTACATCTCTCCCCAATCCTTATTTTTTGAAACAGGGTGGCCTCAAACTCTCAATCCTCCTGCCTCAGCCTCCCAAGTACTGGGATTTCAGGAGTGCATCACCATGCCAGGTTAGGCCACCTTTTCTTTTGCCCTGATGCCAGCTGTGCCAGTGACTCACACCTGGGATCCTAGCTACTCAGGAAGCAGATATCAGGAGGATCTCGGTTCAAACCCAGCCTGGGCAAATAGTTCAAGAGACCCTATCTTGAAAATATTCAACACAAAACAGACTGGTAGAGTAACTCAAGTGGTAGAGTACCTGCCTAGCAAGCATGATGTCCTGAGATCAAATGCCAGTACTACAACAACAACAAAATCATGTGCACTGGCCAGGTGCCAGTGGCTCACTGCTATAATCCTAGCTACTTGGGAGGCTGAGATCAGGAGAATTGAAGTTCCAGGCCAGCCTGGGGAAGTAGTTCCTGGGACCTCACCTCCAAAATAACCAGAGCAAAATGAACTGGAGGTGTGGCTCAAATGGTAGTGCACCTGCTTTCCAAGTAGGAAGCCCTGAGTTCAAGTTCAAACCCCAGTCTCACCAAAAAAATAAAAACAGACTCTTTCTCGTCTTTTCTCCCTGAGACTTCCAGGGGTCCTGTAGACCCACAACAAATTTGAAAAACATATCCATAGCTCCCACACATCCCAGGCAGAGGCAGCAAGGCCTACCCAAAGTCACACAGGGTGGGTGCCTGATGAAAGTCTGGCACTAAGAGCCTCAGAGCATACTTTCCCTGTGGTAGCTACATGGCCCACACCCTTTCAGGCACAAGGACCCAATGGTGATCATGACAAAGTCCTGCTCTTGAGATATCAGAGGGCGTAAATTCCTGAGCCCAGATAACTTAAAGGAAGGATAGATCTGCTAGGAGGAAACTGAGTTTCGTCCTTGCGGTGAGTTATGCTGCTGGGATGGAGGAACTCGTAGAAATGTAAATGTGGACCAATTTACACAGGTCCAATTCCCCTGGGGCAGGGGAGGCTGATGGAGCAACCACTGAGCCTGCAAAGCCGAGGTCCACCTGGAGTCCTGCAGCAATGACCATGAGGTCCTACCTAAGTCATGACTGTGCAGAGCTTAGGGGATCCACAGAACCAAGGCTAAAAAGAATTAAAACAAAACAAAACCCAGAGCCAAGGCCAAGTATTTCGGGCCAAGAAGAAAGACTGTCTGCCACTCCTCAAGCAAGGCTGCCTTAAGCCTTAAGTTGTGACTCCTCACATGATCACCCTGTGATCTGGCATTCGAGTAGGGCTTGAAACTCCCTGGTCCCTGGTCTTCATAGCTCACAGAGCAGCCCAGAAACACAGTCAAGCCAGACCCCAGCCCCAGCAAGGGAGGGACAAGCCATCTGTCTTAGTACCTCTGCTGAGGACTTTCCCTTCTGGCCTGAAGGATGGAGGAGGGGGAAAGGAGCCCCTTGCTGACTCAGGTGAGCCAATGCCCAGTGACCTCCCCAGCCCTAAAGCCCCACTGGGAGGCCCTGGCCCTACCCCCAGCCACACCTCAGACCTCCTTGTTTGCTGCCACTTGTTATTAGGCAGATGCCAATGAATCAGCTGCTCAGATTGGGGTGGGGGCTTCAGTGATCAGGTGCCACCCCTTCCCCAATATTGCAGTTCTTTCAGCCTGGCACCAGCCTCTGGTAGGTCCTCTTGTAGTCTGGGGAAAATGCTGGCACAGGGTGCAAGAGTAGGTAGAGGCCAAAGTCCCTTAAGGGCAGGTGTGGACACCATGACCTTGGACAGCCCCAATCTGGCCACTGGGTTCTGGCAGCCTGTCCACTTGCTCCTACTAACTTGTTGGGGCTTGGGGAGCTGATAAATAACCCTCTACTCTGAGCTCTGAGTAAATGAGCCCTTAACACAGAGTCAGACAGGTGCAGGCAGAATGGATAGCTTCCTCCTGGGAGAACTGGGATGGAATGGGATCTTTTCCTTGGCAGCTGGCCACAGCTTTTTAAGACTCCCTCAAGTTAAACTTTGTCACCAACAGAATTAATTGGGCACTGGTAGGGCTGCCCCACTTTCTGCAGAGAGAGACCAGGAGGCCCCTCCCATTGAACATACTGCTAAAGGGTAAGGTGTCCCCTTGGAAGGCCTCCTTGGTCACCTGACTTTCCCCCTCCCTGCCCTGAAACCAAACAGGCAAGACCCCTGACAGTTCCTCCTTGTATCCTCCCTACAGAGCACAGTACAGTGTCCACACTCATGGACTCAGCTAGTGGGGCTAACTGAGTGGATCCTGGGATGTCAAGGCTGGTTCAGAGAGGGAGACAGAAGGGTGGCCTTGGACAGCCTCAGTCCCGGCAGGCTTGCACCTCTTGCCTAGGTGGGAAAACCCTCCTGTTACTGCGCAAGGCTACTGCTGCAGGTGCTCACAGACTGACTCAAACAAGCAGACCATTCCAAATGCAGGGAAAGTGCCCCATATACCACATGCCTGCCTTGTGGGAAGATCTGGAGCCCTGGCCCAGGAAGCTCAGGCCTGGACAAGAACAGAGTTGGCTCCTCTATCACACAGGTGTGGAAAGAAGGGAGATTGGGGCCTGTTTATTGAGCCCTTCCCTGCCTAACGTTCACCACAGATTTTACAGGGTATGGTTATTATCCTGTTAGAAAAGAAGCCAGGCCCACACATTCTCACCACCAGGCAGCAGACTAGAACCTTCACTTTACTTTCTGCTGTCCACCCAAGCAAGATAAACCCACAGATTCCCCATGCCCCTGGCCATCCAGGACTCCAAGTCTCTGCCTCCCTTCTCCACCACTCAGATTCCTCCCAGCCCACCCAGTCCTCCTTGAAACCCTGTTGGTGAGGCCTCACCCTTGCTGACTATCACAGGGTCTGAGTAAATGGGGTCTTGCCAGTGAGGACTCCTGGTTCCTCTTTCTTATGCAGGATTCTGCCCTTCCAGGAGCAGCCCCTCTCCATGAACAGTCTGCCCATGTCAAGCAGCCCAAGTTCAGCATCCTGGGAGGAGCAGATGGAGGCCTGGGGCTGCCGCTGCTGTCCTGGGGCCAACCACCAAGTCTGGAGGGGAAACCCTGGTTATTCCCATCCCATCAGGAAAAGCTGTATCAAGTATCTCACTTTCCTCTCCAACTTCCTCTTCTCCTTGCTGGGCCTACTAGTCCTGGCTATTGGGCTCTGGGGCCTGGCTGTCAAGAGGTCTCTGAAAAGCAGTTGGGGAGAGCCCCTTCCTACAGACCCCATGCTGGGGCTGGTGCTGGGAGGGCTGGCGGTCAGTGCAGTGAGCCTGGCTGGTTGCCTGGGTGCACTCTGTGAGAACAGCTGCCTACTACGCTGCTTCTGTGTGTCTGTCCTTGCCTGCCTGGCACTTGAGGCCCTGGCAGGGGCCCTGGTGGTGGCCCTCTGGGGCCCACTACAGGATGGCCTGGAGCACATCCTGCATATGGCCATCACCCACTACCAGGATGACCCAGACCTACGCTTCCTGCTTGATCAAGTCCAGTTGGGGCTGCAGTGCTGTGGGGCAGCCTCCTACCAAGACTGGCAGCAGAACCCGTGAGTCCTGGTGTGGGCAAGGGAACAGGCAACCTGGGCACCTCTCTCACTCACCTGTGCAGGCATGCACACGTGCTCACCCGAGTATGCACCCACATACCTCACAGTCCTGGTTCTCACACGCCTGCACACACATATGCTTGCATATGTGCACGGGCGTGCCATGTGCCCATATGCCAAACAAAACTCAGCCTCACCATTGAACATCCTCACAGACACCAACACACACACAAATGTGCACACCTACTCATGCAGTGCCCCGGGCCAAAGGCTCAGGGCCCAAATCAGTCCTTTCAGCCAGCCAACTCTCAGAGCCTGGGCTCATCTCCCTACATCCTTTGGACCAGGCAGACTCAGGGATCCAAATTCAGAAGCTGAGCCAGCAAACCTAGAAAGTCACTTTTTTTTTTTCCATCAGACAAGACATCTCAATGTGAAATGACGATAACTTTTAGGTTACTCAGGACATCCCTACCCCCCAGTTTCCTCTCAGGACATCCCTACCCCCCCGTTTCCTCTCCATTGTGTGTGTGTGTGTGTGAGTGTGTGTGTGCATCTATTTAGGGATGTGATTCAGGATGTTTTCTGTTCTGCTGGAGGGTATCTGTTTTGTCAACTTTCTCAAATGCACAGACACCCCAAGCAGCACCTGTCCTTCTTGTGACACCCAGGACAGATTACATGTTCCTTCTGGAGGCTGTAAGACTGGCTGACTTCAAGAGATAGAGTCAAAGGAGACTTTAAAAATTGGCCATTCATTTCCAACAGGGCTGCCATCAAGCCCTCCCTGCCTCAAAAAGATGCACTCTGCTGGTGGCTGAGGTAGGGCCTGGGGGTGGAGGGTGGGAAGAATCAGCCTGCATGACAGATCCTCAGGGTCCAGGTCAAGGCCCAGGAAGCCCAGGCTTGTGTATTGGAGCCTGAACACTCATGGAAGGCCAAGGGCACCTGGGGGCTGGGGCTGTGATGAGAACTCTTGGCCACCAAGGGGCTCCTCCTAGCCCAGTACTGCCTCTTCCCATTGAGACCTGTAGACCATTCCAGTAGTCTCTGCCAGATCTCGGTTCACTTTTTCCTTCCCCAACTCTGCTTGCTCAAATAAACTCACAGTGACAGTGGAGCAAGGTCTTCTTACCTCCACCCCTCATCAAATGTTTGACATCCCTTCAACTACCTCACTAATACTTCTGGCCAAGATGGGCCGCTATGCCTGCCTGCAAGGGCAGAGGGCTGCCGTGTACAGCAATATAACAAGCTGTGTGTTATGTGTGCATGTTTGTGTGCTCACACATGTATGTATGCCTGTGTACATGCAAGCACATACACATGTGTATTATGTGTTGTGTTTGTGTACGTGCATGCCTTAAGTGCTTGCAAGCATGTGCCTAAGTGTGTACATGTGCCTGCATTTGCATGCAAGTGTGTGCACATGTGTATTGTGCATTGTGTTTATGTGTACATGTTTCATGTGTGCAAATTTATGCATAAAGGTGTATGTGGGCATGTGTGTGCTTGTGCCTATGGATGTGTAGCCATAGGAGTTGAAGGTGGGTAGGAGACAGTTGCTTAGCCAGACCCCAGAAGCTGGGCTTCTTCTCCAAGACTAATTCTCCTGTGTGCTGCAGGTACTTTAACTGCAGCTCTCCTGGGGTGCAGGCCTGCAGCCTTCCTGCCTCCTGCTGCATCAGTCCCCAGGAAGAGGGAGCCTTGGTGAACACTCGGTGCGGCTCTGGGGCTTTGCACCTGGACAAGGACACAGCTGGAAGAGTCGTGTACCTGCAGGGCTGTGGGTCTGCACTGCAGCAGTGGCTGCAGGACAACATGCAGGCTGTGGGCAGCTGCATCACCACGGTTGTTGTGATTCAAGGGGCTGAGCTCCTGTTGGCCACCTGGCTGCTGTGGGCCATAGCTGCCCAAAAGGCAGCAGAGGATGCTGAGGCTGGCCCTTTGTGAGCTGCATGCACCACCTTCCCCAGGGCTGAAGAGAAACCATGATGAGGGTGGAGCTGGAGCCCCCTCTCACCACCCAGGGAGGGTATCAGAATGGAACAGAACCCTGGGTCTCCTCCCCTGCTAGGCCGCTGTCTTCCCACCCCTGCCTGCCTGGGCCTCTTGCCTGCTTGTCATTCCCCAAGGCCCGCTAAAACCGACCCTGCACTGCTGCCTGATTTCACTGTGACTTTGTGAGGACCTGCCTAAGTCCACACTGCTCCTTGCAAAGGCCAGCATGTCTGGCCGTGTCGCCTTCCCATCTAACTGGCAGGGGTAGTTGTCCTGACCCCTGCCTCCAACCCTAGACCAACCCACCTCTGACTGGTTCCCAGACCCCCATTTCTACACTGGAGGACACCCTCCCTCCCCTAAGGCTACCTCCCCTTTTCTGGTTGCTGTTGGGATGGAGGGGGAGAAGTGGTCTCCCCCTTTGTGGAAGGCGTTTTGGAGGGAGAGTAAATCGTTCCTTGGAATGTACCATTCATAGAATAAACTGCAGATCTCAAGTGGGCTGAATTCTCTTATCTGAGACCCCCCCACCAGGTCCAGATGGGGAAAGGCATAGCCTCCCAGCTAAGGCTGACTCCAGAAGTTAGCCCAGCTCTGTCTGACCTCATGTCCAGGGTCAGCATGTGATTCCACCCATTTGTGGAATCACAGGGGACCCTTCTGAGAGTCTCTATCAGAGAGCTTGCAGAGGTGCAAGTCCATGTGCTGCTCCTGTGTGGATCAAGTGGGAATCTCCAGGTCACCATCGATACACACCTCATGTCTGTGAGTGCTCAGGATTGCTGGCTGGGTAGTGAAGGGTGCTTGCTGTGTCCCTGTGCCTCAGTTTCCACACCTATGTGGCAGGAGTAAGAGCTCCTGCCTCATGGTGTGCAGTTCTATTGAGCCATGTCCATTCCTACCTTCTTGGGAAGCTCTGCTCTGGCCACCTGCATGCTTTACCTACTATAACCACCCAGAGTAGGTAAGGGACATGACCTGGCTTGTGTGTCTAGGACCTCTGGGCCAAGGCTCTGTGGGGTGTGTTGATCAATGAGTTTTCTGCCCCCTCTGCCTGGCCAGTCCTCCTGCCTCCACTGCCTTCTCTGTGGTTCCAGCTGAAGCAATGGTCCCCAACCAGCTCCCCAACGAACATACCCCAGACAAGCAAGGACACACTAATTTTATTTTCAAGCAGGAACAGCAAGTGTGAGTTGTGTTGGAAAGACTGATCTGATGAAAGGGAATGAGGCATCTAATTCTCTCACCACATGTCCCCAGGACTCTCAACACATGCTATGTCCTATCTCAGGACACCCAGCTGGAAGGGTTGTAGGGATGAGGAGCCTTCTCACCTGCAGAGAGCAGCGCAGGGACTAGGGGGTAGGGGACACTCCTGGAGAGACTTCCTTGCATTCCAATCATGAGGAGGGGCTGGGGTACACCTTCCCTCTCCCTGCAGACCTGAGGAAGTAGACAGTGTCTCTAGAAGGTCAGTGGGGTGTCCTGGGGGAAGGTGGTGGGCTTCTGCTAACTGGCATCCAAGGCCTGAGGTTGCCAGGTGCAACTTGTGATGGGGACACAACAGGGTTCCTGAGCGGGGCTCACAGCCAGCAGCGCAGAGGCTCGAGGCTCTGGACAGGGGTCTGGCTAGATGATGCCATACTGGGCCAGCTCGTGCAGCTCCAGGTGGTTGAAGGCCTCCCATGGGCAGATGACAGTGATATCTGCAAGAGGGGCACAGTCAGGGAGGATCCCATGACCCAAGGGCCATCCCATCTCCTTTCATCCTATTTTCCACAATCCAAGTAGAGACTATTGATTTGAGAGTACAGACCCTGAGTGTGGGTCCTCCTTCCAGGACACTGGATTTCAAGGAGTCCAGTAGAGAGAGGGGCAGCAGGCCCAAGGGACAAGCCTGAAGATGGACTATTGCCAAAGGGGGAGGGACAGCAAGCATTTCTCCTGCCTGATGCACCTACCCATGGGAACAACCCTACTTGTGGAGCTGAAACTTGGCATTGGAAGAGAAATGAGGTGCAGGCTGGGGAAGGGCAGAGCATCAAACAATAAGCAGGGAGCCTGGGGGTTGTGGGGACAGGCCTTTGGGGGAGGGGCCTGAGGGAACTTTTTTTTTTTTTTTTTTTTGCAGTACTGGGGCTTGAACTCAGGGCCTTCACCTTAAGCCACTCCACCAGTCTTATTTTTATGAAGGGTTTTTCAAGATAGGGTCTCATGGAACTATTTGCCCAGGCTGGCTTTGAACCGTGATCCTCCTGATCTCTGCCTCCTGAGTGGCTAGGATTATAGGTGTGAGCCACTGGCACCTGGCCTGAGGGAACTTTCTGGATGACACTACCCACAATCATACCTGTTCCCAGGCCTTCCATTCCAGGGATGTCGTCCCCAAACCTGCAAGGACAGAGTAATCAGGACTCAGCCTTCCCAGAAGACAACGCACCAGCTGTGGGCCCAGTGGGCAGAGGCTGGTCTTCTCTCCAGTCTCCCACAGCTGGGCAGGGTCTGAGGAGGGGTTCTTCCACTGACCTAGGGTGAATATACTTCCCGGAGATTCATAAACTGTGGCCCAGCAAAGGAGAAACAAGCCCAGGTGCACATGCGCAGGTGTGTGCCTTTGCAAGAGCACAGCATGGGGCACCCAGGTGTGACAGAGCGAGCTTGCTGTGGTTTGAATGCAATTTATTCCTTGAAAGTTTATGTACTGGAGGATTGGTCCCCAGTGTAACAGTACCGAGAGGTGGCAGACCTTTAAGAGGGGGGCCTAGGGGGTGATAATTAGGTCATGAGGACACATTAATAGGGATTAATAGGATTTTCACAAGACTGGGTTATAACCCCACAGAATGAGCCCTCTGGCTTTCTATCTTTTTTTGTCAGGGCCTACACCTTGAGCCACTGCACCAGCCCCTTTTTGTATCGAGTATTTTTGAGATAAGTTCTCTCGAACTATTTGCCCGGGCTGGCTTCGAACTGGGATCCTCGTGATCTCTGCCTCCCGAGTAGCTAGGATTGCAGATGTGAGCCACTGGTGTCTGACTTGGCTTACCATATGATCTGTCAAGTTGGCACTCCCAACTTGACTTCTGCCATGTTGTGATGTAGCCACAAGGACCTTACCAGGGCCAAGTTATCAGGGACCACCCCACATGAGCTGAATAAGCCTTTTCTACATAAGTTATCTTTTCTCTAGTATTTTGCTATAGCAACAGAAAGCTAAGGCAGTGCCTCTGGGTGTGTACATGTGTTTGTGTGTGTCCACAGGTGAGTGTGGTGTGTGATGCACACTCATCCCTGAGGTGAAGCAGAATTTCTGGAAGAGACCTGCTTGGTCATAGCACCTGGAGTGGGTGACAGACCTCCCCAGCCCTGCTTAGGACTTTGCAACTCCCTGCCCCAGTGGGAGTGGGACCACCCTCTGCAGGAAAGTGGTCAAAGTCCCTCCTGAGCCTCTACCTCCTCTTCCTGTGCAGTCTGTGGGGAGGAGCAGTGCCTCTCCTTTTTGCAGACTCCTCTCCAGCTCTGCTTACCCTTGGACGCCTTTCTTGGGAGGCTTGCTCTTGAATTGCCTGGTTTGCCGCTGCTTAAATTTGGGTGGTCCCTTCCGGGGGGTAACAGGTCCTCCCATCACCCTGGTGGCTGACCGGATCTCGACCTTGGGTGGTTCCAGGTTCATGGTGAAGCTGGCAGAAACAGTTCAGTGACCCTTGGCCTTTGGACTCCTTCAAGATGGTCTGGACTGCTCATGCAACCTGGGGGCAGACCAGACAGGGGTCCCAGTCAGCCCTCCAGCTCTGGACCCCCCACTCTAAGGCCTCAACCCACCAAAAACATAGGATCAGCTCTGCCATTCTTCTGTATGACCCAGACAGCAGTCCCTCCTCCAGGAAATCACCTTCCAGCCCCTCTTTGGGGTACCCCAGCACTGTCATCCCCCTGCCTGGCCCCACCAGATGCCAGATGCTCCCTTCCCACTGCTGCCAGTCACACACAACTCAGGTATCTCCCTGAGTCCCTGGTCTTCCACCTGACCCAGCCCCCCCCACACAACCTCCTGTCCCTGCACATGTCCCAAGTCAGGATTTCTCACTACCTCCCCTTGCAAGTGGGTATTCAAGACTCTTAATGTCCGCTTCCCACCTCCCCCCTCCATAGTTTGGAATCTTATCTGACCATGTCACTCTGTTGAAAGCCTTCTGGGGGCTCCCACTGAGACTGGGATGGGACCCAAGCAAGTCCTCCTCCTGGCCCTGCAGACCAGCCTTACCAGTTTCTAGCCTTCTCTTCCTAGTGGTCAGTCACAGCTGCCCTCCTTCTCTAGGTCCCTTCTCAGCAAAGCTTTCCCAGACCCCTACCCCACAATCATTCTGTGTCACCAAGACCTGATTTATTTCTTCACATCACACACTAGCCCAAGTCCCTCATTATTAATGCATTAATATCTTTGCTCATACGTCTGTGGTAATTGTTCTGTGTTTATCATCTGTCCCTTGAGGTTGGGATGCAGTGTTGATAAATAATGCCGCACAAAATGGGAGAGCAGGGTCACCCTTGGGTAAGGGGTGTGTTTCTGAACCAGGCACTTTCTGAGCTGAGTAACCTTTGCCTTCCTGCTCCACTTCACAAAGGGACAAGCTGAAGGGGTGGAAGGGAGGCTGGTGCTCTCCTGAGCTGGTATCTTCCTTTTGCTGGCTAAACAAACTCCCAGGCCACTAAGCTCACTGGCTTACGGCACTTGTGGCTCTGGGTCAATGTTGCCTCCTTTCTTTGGTGTAATTGGAATGGCTTCTGTCGCTTTGTATGAAGCTGCGTCCTTGCAGGCACTGCACAAGGAAACCCCTCTCTCTTTTCACAGAGTCTCTCTCCAGAGGCTCTAAGCCCCAGTGACCTTGTCAAAGGCAGATCGGCTTCCTCTAAGCCTATTAGCAGAAAGAGAGAGACCCCTAATCTCCTGAGATCTATACAAGTCCCACATGCCTCCAGAAGGTTCTGAAGGTTCTTCCCCAGCTCTGGATGCCTCAAGGACCACCTCTTGGGGTCCTCTGTGCTCCTCTCAGTCTGTAGAATGTGGTGCTGATTCCAGCCTTGGGACACTGCCAGCTGTCCGCTCAGCATCAGGGCTCAGACTGACTGGGAGACAAGGACAGGTGGCCCTATTCTGGTGGTATGGCAGGGTCCACCTGAATCTCAGGGGCTCCACCTGCCCTCCCTGAGGTTCAGTCTCTGTCCCTGGGGCCAACATCAGCCTTGAAGGAACCAGGGCTTAGGAGCCTGGTGGTCTTGACTGCTCAACCCCTGGGGTACCCATTTATCCCTTTGCAAACAGTGGGCTGCCTCTCCAGCCCCAGGTCGTGGGACCCTTATGGGCAGTGTAGGTCCATTCCAATGCCATCTCCATGAAAAAGGTGCCTAAGCTGCCTGGCCTGGCCTGTGGCTGGTGCCACTCAGTTGACTGATCATGTGTAGCCTGATGCTCCCAGATCATCACTGGCCTTGGGAACAGTGGCACCACCATTTGATCTGAAGAAAAACAGAGGGGGTGATGGGCAGGGCATCCTCACTAAAGGACAGGGAAGGGTCTGCTCCTAAAGACCCAGAGCTCAGCAGACATGGCAAAGGCCCACCAGCTCCTTCCAACCCCAGAAAATTGGGCAGATATCCTGCTTCCAGGACAGACAACAGGGTAGGTCACTACTCACCAAGCGCTGGACAGGTCTCAGAGCCTCAGAGGCCAGTGTAGCTGGACCTGGTTCAGCAGGACACTGGCTGGGCATTTATCTCAGTGTTAGTGAGTGGATTAGGACTCCTCTCTCTGACCATATACAAACGAGATTATCTGAGGGAAGGCGCCACTGCCAAGGACTCTGGGAGTGTGCAGAAGGGGCAAAAGGGGGTAGGTGTGGTGAGGCACCTGAAGGAAGGACACCAAGCTGGGGAAAAGAAGTGTGATCCTGAATAGCCCATGGATGGGAACCTCCCTGTAGAAGCCACCTACCTGTCTCGCTGACTCTGCCACATTGGCCAACAGTTCTGCACCCAGGAGAGGGGCCTGGTCAGTGGCTTCTCTGGAGGTGTCTCACACTGACCTTTGCCATAAGTGTGGAATTACAGAAAAAAGACTGGTTTTGTGGGATTCACTGTACAAACACACACATGGAGAGGGGGAGAGAGAGAGAGAGAGAGAGGAAAGGAGGAAACAGACCTCTTCCTGTGCTTGTATTTCTGAATAAATCCCTTTATGCTGTCCAGGAGGCCTTAAAGCACAGCAAGGGCCACTGTGCTCTGTCTCTGGATAAGTCTTTCTCATTCAGGACTATTTCTGAATCTGTATGGGGTTAGATGTTCACTCAGTCTAGGGTCCAGTAGATGTGGTCACAATAATCATGTTTTTCTGGGTCCAGCCAGAGCTCTGAGTGCTTCGGGTGGCATGTATCTGCTGTCCAAGATGCCAGACTTAGCTAACAGTGTCTTGTCATCCTCTAGTAAGGCACCCCACCTGTGGTCCCCCGGGTCTGTTTTCACAGATCCATGTGAAATGCCGTATGTAGAAAGGGCCCCTTTATCAGCTTAAATCCCTTGGGAAGGGAGTGTCACTTTACAATCCACTTTTCCTTTAAATAAGAGAAGATAAACAGGTCTAAATATTGTTAAGCCTAGCACTAACCAGGCCATCATCAATCAGAACTTGGAATTGCTAGGGAAGAAGGGGTTGTGATGGGATATTTTCCATGGAATAGAGGGGGGTCAGTGATGACCCTAAGATCAAGTCCTACCCTGGCCTATGGTCTGGTCTGGTCTAGTGGCCAGGACTACCACCACGGACAAGGCTGGGGCCTAACAGCTCGTTCTGAAGCTAATGCCCCAGGCTTCCTGGTTCGTTGCCCAACATTGCCCTGGAGCTTTGGCCAAGTGAGATAGATGGACTAGTTCTGAGCAGTGCTCAGGACTGTGGGTTAACGCACAGCATCTACCAGGTACAAAAGGCATCTCCTCAAGCACCGAGTAGGGACCAAGAGTAGCCGGATGGATAGGTCCTTTCCAGGGTGCCTGCGAGGGCTTTTCCACTACAACCTCGAGAGACCAGTCAGCTTTCCCCATGCTGCATGCAGAGCATAATGAGAGCTGACCATTGGGCGGACTCAAGATGTGCTGGGACCTGGAGGGGCTGGTCACCTGGACCTTCAGGTAGATGGGACTGGTCACTGCCAGACCAGGTGGTAAGGGCTACAGCTGTTTGTTGCTTTCTTTGATGAGGCAACACAGACTATATGGACAATACAGAAGCCACTCATCATGGAGGATTTATTTATTTTCAGGTAAAATCTTATTCCCAGAAGATACATCGAGCCCACAAAGCGGGCACCAGGCGAGCTTCATGAGCAGGAGCTGTTCATCCAGCATCTCTGCAGGGCAAAGGCACCTGTGGCAGACCGGCTCAGTCCCTGCCCTGCATGTGGAGCTGGATCTCCATCCTGAGGAAGGCCTTGAGGTTCTCATCTTCCACATGCTCCTCCAGGGCAGCCAGGGCCCGCTCCCCGCCGTCCTGGTAGTGCTGTAGCAGAGCCTCTGCATATGCCACCCACACGCAGTTGGGGCAGCCACTCATGCAGCAGTTTGTGGGGGGCTGGAGCTCAGATGGCAGAGAGTATGGGGGTTCTAAGGGGCCCCTGCTGGGCAGGGAGGCCTTGGGCTGCCTCGTGTCATTTGCATCTGCTTGGGAGCCCCCCTCTACATTGTCTGTCCCTAATTCTCTGTGGCCATCACTGGCTCCTGTTCTGGCATGGTGCCTGTGTAGAACGTAGTCTCCTCCAGGAAGCCTCTGGCAGCAGTTCCAGCTGGAGAGCCAGCGTGTCCCCTGTGAATGAAGCAAAACAAGACTCTCTAGGAAGCCAGCCAGGCCTACCCTATCACAAGCTCTAAAGAACTTTCAGTCTTCCTGGCACTGGACAGGTGGCTCCATGTCCTTCTCAGCTTCCCTACTTCCCACTTGCATGACCTTAGACAAGTTATTTCATTTCTTTAGGCTGTTTTCCTGACTGTAAAGTGGACATAGTGGCTGGTGTAAGTAGGACATGGTAAGACTTGTGAGGATTTCTGAGTTCAGGGCAGATGCTCCAGCAGGTGGGCATGGGAACCTGGCGCCTCCAGCTCATACAGTTCCTGGACAACACGGGACAGGAACTCTCTCTCTCCCCAAGCAGTGCAGTTAAGCTCTGCCCCTCCTCTGATAGCCCATCCTGACTAATCGCATCACTTGAGAAGCCCAAGGATCTCGTTCAACACATCGTCAGACTCTAATTCCCCAAGGCCCTGAGGGAATCTCCTCCACACCCCCACCTGCCCTAGCCCTCGGTCCTTTTCCCAGCTGTTCACTCCCGGGTACGGCACTCTGCAAATTTTGCTTCTTTACTAACTCTAGCAAGGAGTAGCAGCTTCTTCTCACCGCCACGCGCTAGGCCTAGAGGGCTCGCACACAGCAGGCGCTCAGTTGGACGCACTGGCTGCTAACAAGCACAGGGCTAACAGGCCTCCCCAGAATTGAGGCGGGGAACCTCCCGGAAAGACCCAGCTGCGGCCGCGCAGCAGGTGATCGTATGTCCCTTGTCACTGGCCCGCGGGCCCACCCCGCCTGCTGGGACTTGCCAAGCCACCAAATGCAGCACCCACCGCCCGGCCTCCCCGGGTCATGCTCCCCAGCAGCATCTCCCCGGCCCGAGAGTAGCAGCCGCCTAGGCCAATCCCTGCTCCACCGGAAGCCGCCTCGCTCCAATGAGGAGCGCAGGACCGGAAGTAGTGCGTATGGGGCGGGACCTTGTAGAAGGGCGGAAGTGGCTTCGCTCTGGAAGCGCCCGGTGTAGCTATGGCAGGAGCTGGTCGCGGAGCCGTGGCTCCTGCGGGGTTGGCGGGGCCTGGGAGCTCCGGAAGGCCCCAGGCGCGGCAGCAGCGACAGAAGCAACCTCGGGGGCAGCATAGCTCGGCCTCGCGGCCGGGGCAGCGCGGGTGAGTGCAGTCCCCAGGGGAAGGGACCCGGTCGGGAACTTTTCCGGGCACACCCTTCTGTGGCTCGGCCCAGATCCGTTGAAGGGGACCGAGGCGTGAGTGAACCTCTGGGTTTGCGTGTGTCACGTTTGGGGTACAAGGCCAGGGGTGCCAGCCTCCTCGGGCTTTTGGAGTGCCTTTTGCCCTAGAATGCTTTGAGAAAGAATGCTTCGAGGGTCAGGACGGGGCCCACTTGCGGCGCCGGCTCGTGTCCCGTGCAGCTCCTCTTTCCGGGCACAGCCTCCCCTTATCTGATTCGGCTGACGATTTGCGTGGAACCAATCGCACCCCGGGTTCTTTCCAGGAGGGAAAAGAAGAAAGTGAATTGCAAGCCCAAGAACCTGGATGAACAGGAAATCCCTTTTCGACTCCGAGAGATTATGAAGAGCCGCCAGGAGATGAAAAAACCGCTCAGTAACAAGAGGAGAAAGAAGGAGGGTATGTACAGGCCGAATTCCTGGGTGGCAGCAAAGCTTTGTGTGTGGGATTCCGCCCCGTTGCCCAAATACTTAATGGAGTTTCAGGCAGAGGAAGTATGCCAAGACCCAGCGCGGAGGAGCGTGAGAGATGTGGAAAGGAGCGCTGAGGGCCAAAGTGGCTGATGGCAGTGTGGTTCCAGAAGAGGCGTGAAAGGAGCCGGTGGGAGGTGGGATAGAAGTTCACTGGACTCCAGAGCCGTGGGAAGAAGTGTTGACTTTTTTTCTCTCAAAAATAGTAGCGATTTATCAGTGTTTTCAGATGGTCTGACCCGTTCAGATTTACTATGAGAAAAAGAGCTCCAGGGCTGGTGGAATGGCTCAAGTGGTAGAGTGCCTGCCTAGGAAGCATGAGGCCCTGCGTTCAAATCCTAATGCTGCCAAAAACATGTTATAGAGAGAAAGATCTTCATGTGATGGAGGGGGTGAAAATGAGCAAGCATGTTAGTAAGGCCTAGGAGTGAGAAGCGATGCTTCCTTGAACCACAGTGCTGATGCCATGGTGGAGGAAGCAAGTGAGGTGGGTTCCAGAGTTTAGGAAGGAAAGTTGATCAGACCCCTCTGAGAAGCTTGGACCCCCTCACCCCAGTGTGGGGCCACCTGTGAGTGTCATACACTCTGGACATGATGGGGAATGGTGTCCAGCATGTTTGTATTTTATGTATATACATATTTCCCTCCAAACACGGTACTGATTGTACAGCATTGCTGCTTTTTATTTATTTATTTATTTATTTATTTATTTAGGGACTAGAGTTTGAACTCAGGGCCTTGAGATTGCTTGTTGTGGGAATCTCAAGTTGAGATACGGGACCCTGAGGCAGTTGTAACAGGAAGCAACATTTTTTTGTGCTGGCACAGACCCAGAAGACTTGTGTCCAAAGTTTGAGCCCCGAGAACAAAGAGGTCTCACCTTATATACTCTTGCAAGCAGGTTACAGAAGCAAAAAGCAAGGTCTAATCCGTATGTTATATTCAATTTTATAGGCTACTTTACCCTTAGTGCTATGTGACTTTCCCCTCCCCAGTGCTACATAACCCTCTCCATGTTCAGATTCCTTAGGTTTTATCTCTCTGCTATGCCATCCCTACCTCCCTGCTACTTTATTAGAACTCAGGCCTAGTCTGTTTTCTTTTGATCCTCCTCCCTGCTACAGATAGGTAGGTGCTCTGCCACTTGAACCATGATCCTCCCGATAGCCATCTCCTAAGCAATATTTTTATTTTGTTTTGTTTTTGAGACATTGTCTCACTATGGAGCTAAGGCTGGCTTTGAACTCTACATTGTTCTGCCTCAGTCTCCTGACTTCTCTGCTACCATGCCTTACTTATTTTTAATTTTTTTTTTGATTCAGGATCTCACTGTGTAGCCAAGACTGGCCTGGAACTTGCCATGTGGCCGAGGCTGGCCTTAAATTTGTGATCCTTCTGCTCCACCTTCCAAGTGGTGGCATATGCCACCACGTTCTACTTTAGGCTTTTCATTGGGGGTTATATGGCTGCCAAAGAAACAAAATAAAAAGGTAGGAAAGGGGAGCAGTAGAAAAGGTGTTGGCACAGGTTGAGGGTGGCACATTTTGCACTGTGATGCACTGAATTTACACTTACTTTTTGTTAAATTATGTAAAACATGTAAATTCAGATTGTTGGAGGTGTAGCTCAGTGGTAGAGCACTTGCCTAGCCTGCACCAGACCCTGGGTTTGATCCTTGGCACTGCACCAAAAAAAAACCCAAACAAACTGTGTATATGTATGTATATGTATACGTGTGTGTAAAGTCAAACAGTTCTGAGAGCTATGAAGTATGAGCCTCCCTATCTCTGAACCCTGATCCCTCCCCTGCAGGAAAAAGAAAAAGCAAAAAATACTGTTAGTTTTCTATATAACCTTCCATGGAGAAATACTGTCCATATTTTCATAAATTGTGATGTAAAACATCTGCCTTATCTTGTACATTGATTTGTGTCCGGTGTTTATTTACAAGGGGTTTTATAAGTCTTTCCACATCCCTATGCATAGCTCTGCTTCAGTAGGTAAGCAGTGATTTCTCTCTGGGTGGGCAGAGGGGAGTTCGTTCAGCCAAACACTTTGGGTAGACATTTAACTTGTTTCTGGTTTCTTTTCTCAACTGTACTGTGGTGGCTGTCTTTGACATACACCAGCAGGCTGTGGGGTCACATCCCTAGGGACACCCTGACCTGGTCATTTTAGATCCTCTTTCACTGCTTCTACTTGAGACTCGTCTTCCTTTCCTGTGGGCCTGGGAGGGGAAGTGAGCATGGGCCACCTGCCTGGCACCATCCATTCTCTCCCAACCCTCATGCCATGCCTCCTCTGAGGTCCCTTTTTGTCCTCAGCCCAGGTGACCTTCAAGAACACGTTGGAGATGGAAGCTAAGGGAGTGGAGCCTGATATCCCTGTCCCCAAGTTCACGCAGATGAAGGGGGAGTCTACTGGGGCTTACATCCAGCGCATGGAGCAGGAGACACGGCATGTGTTGTTTCTTAGCAAGAACCAGGGCAGCCAGCAGCCAGAGATGCAGGCAGCTCCCAAGAAGAAGTCTGAGCGGAAGAAAGCGTGAGTTGGAAAGCGGAGGGATTAGGCTCTCTCTGGAGGCCAGGGAGGGGGAGAGCTGTGGGTTACAAACAATTGTGTTGTATACTGACAGCATTTTGTCAGCTCCTGGCTACCCCCCATCACTGATGAAAACCATGGAAAGAATTTAAAGCCATGGTCATAACAGTTTCTCAGCCTGTGGGGAGGGCCTCAGAACTCTGCAGAAACCTTGCTGTGTCTCTACCTTTCTCTAGAAAAGCACAATAGGGGTTCAAGGGCCAGACAAGGCCAAGAGTCAGTTGTCTACCTTGGGGCAACAGCTGTAGGAAAGTAAAAAAGGATAGCTTATGCCTGCTTCAGAAGAGCTTGCTGGGTACCAGGGTTTTCTGATGCCTTTGAGGGAATCACCACTGTACAAGGCTTCATTTGAAGCTGACATTCAGCCCCCTAACTTGGCCTGAACCATGGTTGTCTTCAGTGTTCTTCCTGGTTCAAAAAGAATTGAGAGCCTTTAACTACATCATTTATGCAAGCTCTGTGACCTCTTAGCATGTAGCATGGCATCATCTGTAAAATGGAGATAATGTCGCTGTTGTGAGGTTCCATTTGTTCCTGTACAGTCCCTAAGAATGGTGTTCAGCCAGTAGAAAGCCCACCACAAGCTTGGGTTCCCTAGCCCACCCTGCTACCTCCTGCCTTGGGCCACCTGTGGACTTCAGGCAGTTGGGAAGGAGTTTCAACAAGCAGGACTTTTTTTTTTGGCGGTACTAGGGCTTGAACTCAGGGCCTTCATCCTGAGCCACTCCACCAGCCCTATTTTTGTGAAGGGCTTTTTGCAATAGGGTCTCGAAAACTATTTGCCCAGGCTGGCTTCAAACCAAGATTCTCCTGATCTCTGCTTCCTGAGTGGCTAGCACCAGTGTGAGCCACTGGTGCCTAGCTAAGCAGGACTTTTTGAGATGCATTAGCCACGACTTTGCAGATGTACCAGTCTGAGGTTTCATTGAAGTTAAGGAAAACTCCTTTGTTGGTGCAAGGAGCATTGACCTTTTTGATTTTGTAAAAGCTTTGACAGATAGATGGTTTATGTCCCTTTGTTTCTGAATTTTTGTAATACTTGTCATCATAGGAAACCTAGCCCAGGTACAGCCTAAAGCCATGCTGGTCTCCACAGCTCGTAAGCACAGTAAGGTGCTATATCACATAGATGGTGCCTTAGGGCACAGGAGCAGAATGGATTCTCTGGGTGGGATGGTTCTCTGTAGTGCAGCCATACTATGCATTGTAGAGTGTTTAGCTACATCCCTGCCCGGCCCCCCCACATGACAGTGTCTGCAGACATTGTGAAGTGTTTCTTGGGACTGAGAACCACCCACTGAGAAGCTGTAGTGGGCCCGATGGGCAGCTGTGGGTTTTGGGGTGGTGAGGGACATCAGGACCAAGAGTGACCACTGGATTCACGTCTCAGTTCTGCCTCCTCCTTGGATGGAATGAGAGCTTAGTAACTGAATGGCATTGTGCTTTCTTCCCAGGTTCCAGAAGCGGCAACTAGATAAAGCTCGGCAGAAAAAGGAGGAGAAGGCAATGGAGAGGCTGGAACAGGAACTGCTGCAAGGTAACTCTCCCAAAAGCAGCCGTGTTGGCTCTGGTCCTCAAGGGGCTGAGCCTGCTTTTCACACCAGATCCCTGGGAGATCTGTGTGGGGAGGTACCTGTGGTCTCTCCCAGGTCCACAGCCAGTGGGCCAGCCAGTTCTGTCTTGACCTTGGGAGGGGGGTACTAAGGGAGGGAGGCAGGAGCTCTGGGTGCCAGGGCTAAGGTGGTTATTATAGACAGCAGGCCTCTGCATACTCTGCCTCTCCAGACACTGTGAAGTTTGGAGAAGTTGTTCTACAGCCCCCGGAGCTGACCGCCCAGCCCAGAAGGAGCATAAACAGAGACCAGGTACATAAGAACCAGGCATATGAGGAGTGGGGATTTGTTAAATTTGTTCCCCAGTGTTCCCAGGGAACAAGAGCCAAGGCCCATGTATACTATCTTTTATGGGCCCTGGTCTAGGACCTTCTAACTGGGCTTTGAGTTGTTTGACAAATTGAACCCTTTCCATCTCCTCTCAGGGCCAAGCCTATGCCCCAGCCTTCCCTCCTTCTTCCCTTGTTCCTTAGCCTGGCAAGAAGTCGCTGATGCTGAGGAAGCTCTTGAACCCTGGCGGCATGTCTCAGCCTCTGACCACCTCACTGGCACGGCAGCGAATCCTTGGGGAGGAGCGGGAACGGGCTGTGAAGGCCTACAGAGCCCTAAAGAAGCTGCAGCAGCATCAGGGGCCACCTGCTCAGCCACCTGGTCCTGCTTCCTGGAGGAAGTCCAAGGTGCATCTGTGATGGACAGACTTGGGAGCCACCTTGGGGCTGCTTTGCTACATAGGGGAGAGGCAGTAGATTCATGGACAGGGGCCTGCACTTCGGACTCTCTCAGTGTAGGAGAGTCTCCAGGTCTTTCTCTTTTCCTCCCTTAAAGACTGCCATTTCACAAGTGACCATGGCAGTCCTATATCTTATACAGAGCAAGTGCCCCTTAGATTGAGACCAGTGCCTGACCGACACACAGCCAGTAGGGCCAATGTCTTGTTCCCTGAGCTTAACTTCATTCCAAAACAGAAACATCTTGGCTGAGACAACTCAGAGCCCCTTTAGGAAGGACTCAATCCCAAAATCCTGACTCTAAACACCGGTTGAACTGGTGGAGTGGCTCAAGTAGTAAAGCGCCTTGCCTAGCAAGCGAGAGGACCTGAGTTCAAATCCCAGTACCACCAAAAAAAGAAAAAAGAAAAAGAAATGGATTATAAACACCAGTCAGTTGTTGAAACTGCTAATGTAGGTTAGCCCAGTATCTGAAGAAGCGATCTAGGCAGGGCCAGGGGCCAGGCAGAGCAGGTAGGAAGGACAATAGATGAGTAGACAGACCACAGGACAGGGCGAGTGGGTAGCACCTAGACCACGTAAGTGTCTGCACAGAGGACAAAAGTCCCAGCCCACTTGTTAGCATCCCCGCAGAGGCAAGGAGAGCCCTGGCCCAAGTTTGGTTTGAATGGAGACATGACCACTCACACACCAGGAGGGTAGGAGCAGGTCTGTGCCCCAAGTAGCAGGTCTCTTTGGGAGAAGCAGTGTAAGCCTATTGAGAGGGGACAAGGATCAGAACCTGTCTGGGTTGGACTTTTTGGAGTGCAGAAGTGGTGAGCACTCATGTTCTGCCAGAGTTGAGTTTTCACCTGTGGCAAAGGAGGAACTGCGCAGCTGTCAGCTCCAGATGAGTGAGGGCTGTAAGAGGTAGGGCTTACAATTCAAATCAGACATCAAGAAAAGATGGTGCTCATCACACCATGCTGGGGAAGTTTTGGGGTCTCCCCAGGGTCATGCCTCTGCAAAGCTGGTCTCAGGGAACTCTGCTAATACCATTTACTCCAGTGCACTCTGAAATGCTGACGTTTGGTGTGATCTTTGGATTTCCAAAATGAAGTTTATTTTTATTAAATTTTTGCTACTTTGAAATCAGGCCTTGAATTGACTTTTGCCACCCTGTGACTCACTGGTGGCTTCAGCCAATGTCAGGGTAATTGGGGATGAGTGTCTGCTTGGAGTTATACCTGGCAGCACTGAGGGCCCAGACAGGCCAGAGACATGCCAAGTCGGACTGCATTTGCTATCCCAGTTTTTACTTGTTTCAGGACAGTGTAGAGCCAGGGCACAGCGCCTCTGTTGACCACAGTGCAGGCTTTGTGTCCTTCTCAGAGGCAATGTGACTTAAGACACCTGATTTACAGCCTCTGGCCAGCTGTCTTGAACTGTAGGACTCTGGTTATTATTCCCTGCCTCCTGGAAGCCTTCCCCCTGTGAATCTTGGCAGAACACTGCTCCCCTCCCTTGGTTCTGATGGCCGTGTGGAAGCCCGTCTGCTGGTGCATGTGTCCTGTGGATTTCTCCACTCTTCCTGCTTCTGGATGGAAAGATGCTCCAGGCTTGGGGCCTGATACCTGCAACTGTTCTGGCTCTGATACCTGAGCCCTCTTGCCATCCCCAAACCAGTCTGGGAATACTGATGGCCAGGTGGTGGCATTAGCAGCGGGATGTCAGCACAGACTGAGGGTGCCTTGAGGTGTCTACGTGGAAATCTGGGGTCTGGGTGGTGGAAAAGGCAGGAGACCTATAGGATCCCCCAGTCTTCCCACTTTCTGTGCCTTGGCCAAAAAAGAGTGCCTTGACCTTCCTGTGACCAACTTGCAAGTTGAGTCCAAGTTGGTCCTTGAACATTCCCATGCTCTGATAAAGGTGTTTTTAGGGGGCTGGTGGTGTGGCTCAAGTGATAGAGCTCCTGCCTGGCAAGCTCGATGTCCTGAGTTTAAACCACACTACCACCGGAAAAAAAAAAAAAAATGTGTTTAGGTTGTCGCAAACATTAAAAGAGCCTGGTGTGGCCGAGAGCCCAAATTCCTTAAATTCTCACCTACATTCCATCCCATCCTCTGGCTGGGATATACCAGGTAATGCATCCCTTTTCTCTGCCTATGGGAAGATGAGCTCAGCACTCTGGGTGCCCCTAAAATGTGCTTTGGATGGGTCACCTGTTCATGCTTCTCTCTTTGGCTTTTGAGTTTTGTTTTTGAGATAGGGTTTTATGACATAACCCAGGCTGGCCTTGAACTCCCAATTCTGCCTTAGACTCCTGAGTGCTGGGATTATAGTACACTTTACTAAGCCTTGGGTCATCTTTTCTTTTTCGGGGATGGGATGGGGAGGGACTGGGGTTTGAACTCAGGGCTTCACACTTGCAAAGCAGGCACTCTACCACTTGAGCCACATCTCCAGCCCATTTTGCTCTGGTCATTTTGGAGATGGGATCTTGAGAACTATTTGCCTGGACAGTCCTTGAATTGTGATCCTTCTGATCTCTGCCTCCCAAGGAGTTAAGTGGCATTAGCCACTGGTGCCTGGCTCTGGGTCATCTTTTTTTTTAAATGTCCCCACGTGATGCTAGGATTGAGCCAGGACCTCGTACATACTAAGCAAGCACCCTACCACTGAACCACACCTCCAGCCCTTTCTTTGAAGTCTCAACCCACCCCATCTTGGGAGGACTTAGGGTACTCCTTTGTGGGGTTTTCCCTGCCACTGCTTTGGTGGTGATTAGTGCAGGGTTGGCAGCAAAAATACAGTACCACCGCTACCTTAGCTTCATCTCCTGTGAGGTGGCATCTTGCAGGGTGGGAAAGAAGCCTGAGTACACGGCAGGAGTAGGTGAGGCCTGTCATACGCCCTTCCTTGCAGCTTCCTCTGCTGGCTCCTCACTTTCTGAGATGTTCCCTTCCCCTCTGGCCCTGGCATCTTAGAGGTGCTCCTCTTTTGGGAGCACCACAGCCACGGACCTTGCAGGGCAGACAGACCCTGGTCCAGCCACAGCCAGATGCAGCCAAGTATGAATTTCTATCATTTCTTAGTCCTGGCAGAGTGCACAAAACCTGGGGTCAGAGGACAAAGCCAGCCACCCAGAGTTGCCTTATATTTTTGGGAAGCAGTTTAGGGGTCTAACCTGCTCTGGTGCTCCATCTCGGCCTCCTTCATTTCCTATTTTATCCTTCCCTTCTAGGATTGGGGCGAGGAAGGAAGAGACATAAATCAGCCTGAGGCAGATGGCAGATGTTCATCTTAAGAGGCAAAGGTCAGACAGGGAGTCCCTGGGTTTCCTGCCTCCTGTGGGTTGAGTTGGTCTCTGTTCAAAGGGAAACCTGGACTTGCACATAAGTTGGAGGTGGGGACAAAACCAAAGATTCCAGGGAGGTCCCTTACTCCTGCACACAGGCTTCACTGCACCCTGGTTATAAACCCACATGGGAGAATTTCCCCAGACCAAATTCCTCCCAGCAACTCTGTCAGAAGTGATTACTGTTACAATTTAGCACTGCACTGCCTTTGGTTACTGCTTAGTTTGTGGGAGCCAAGGCTGCTGGGAAGAAACCAGAGCAGAGGCATCAGTCCCACCTGGCGTTATCCTCAGCAGCACCAGTTCCCCGAGATGCAGGACTGAGTTTAACTTGGGGGAGGAGTCTAGGCCACAGGAATGTGTACCATTCTGACACTGGGGTGCATGGATCCAGAACAACCTTAAGAGCAGGGAACCTCAAAGGCCAGGGGCCCTTCCCATGGGATCAGGAAAGCCCCAGCACTATTAGGGTGGTCTTCCACCAAACTCCCCCCACATCACAGGACTGCAGTTGACAGGGTGTGCTGACAAGTTTTGCAAGAAATCATGACCATTGTTCATGGTGGCCTCCAACCCGGCAGCCTGTGCATCTTGCCTTCCCAGAGTGTGACTCTGTGGCTGGCCCTTGTCTGAGAAAACCTGAGTTGGTTCTAAGGGGCAGCCCAGGCTATGGCAGCTCTGCCACCTATTTCCACCACAAGACAGTCCCATGATTCTGACAACAGCAGCCTGTGGCCTCTGCTGACTAGGACCCAGAAGTCCCAGTTCAGCTTCATTTGTCCTCATCTCTTCCTTTGCTAAGCTCTGAGTTTTTTGTGCTCATGATCCCGGGAATCTCAGTGGAAGACAGGAAAGGAAAGGTTCAGACTTGCAGACATCTGTCTGCAGCTTGAAATAGAGCTTGAAGGAAACTTTAGCCCTGGCTCACTTGGCTTCTCCCTGTTGTCCTGCATTGGAGGTGACTGGCAGGCCAGCCTGTGGACTGGCCAGCGCAAAGATGGGAGGAAGAAGAGAAGCAGGGCCAGAATAGTACAGGGAACTTGCCAGAAATTGCAGTCAGGCCCATCTTAGTCCTCTAGAGTTAGCTGTTCTGGGATTGAGGCCTGGTGATGTTTTTTGTTTTTGAGACAGAGGTCTCATTAGACTGCCCAGGCTGGTCTCAAACTCCTGGGCTCAAGTGATCCCCGCCTCAGCCTCCCAGTGGTTTGGTGTACAGGTGCCACCATACTCTACCCCAGGCCGGATGATCTGTGTAACAAGCTCTGCAGGAGGTTCTGCTGCACTCCCAGGTCTGAATGGGACCCAGACTTCAGCAGTTCAGCTCACTGAGTCTCATGGCACTGTGACAAAGCATGGTGTGTGTGGCATTCTTGGGGCATTCTTCTTCAAGTTCTCAGGAGGCCCTTGACCCCATAATGATTAAGAACTGTGGCTGGGGATGTGGCTCCAGTGTTAAGAGTTCTTGCATAGCAAGCACCAAACCCTGAGTTCAAACCCCAGTACCACAAAACAAAGCAACCAAACCAAACCAAACCCAAAAATCTGTGGCCTTAAACAGGGTGTGGTGGTGCATACCTGTAATTCCTGAAGGTTTGCAACTTTGAGGCCCGCCTGGATGACACAGTGAAACCCTATCTCAAAAAAACCAAAACATCCCATATCCTGCATGGGGAACAGGAAATGTCTCTCTCTCTCCCCCCCACAGTCCCTTTGTTCCCACTCTAGATACAACCCGCTTTTAGTCTGTTGAAAGTGTATTTCTCTCCTAATAAACTTTACTGTTACTTTTATAAAAACAAAAAATGAAAAAAACAAACCAAAACAAACAGGGCTGAGGGTGGTACCCAGTGGTAGAGCACTTACCTCGCATGCACCAGACCCTGGGTTCAATTCTCGGTACCCCCTTCTCCCCAAGTCTGGCAAAAGACAAAAAGCTGGGGACATGGCTCAGGTGGTAGTGCCTCACCAAGATACCTAGCAGGCTAGCCACAGTGGCTGTGAAAACACCAGAGAGAACAGGAATTAAGGTCCTGGGCACTGTTGAGCGAGGCTCTGCTGGCCTGGGACAGCACCAAGCAGAAGTACAGGTTCCTGAAATGCGGGCAGCCTCTCTACTCTGGGTCTGAAGACCGCTCCTCCAGGGACTCAGTGTCCACCTGAGAATGTCCTTATGGATAACACCGACACCCAATTAAAGGAGTTTCTCAAGGTGATGTGACAAATACGACCAGGTAGGAACTGCAGTCCCTAATTCAAGCCTGGAGCCTTACACCAGCCATCTGAATATGGGAGTACTACTGGCCATCCCTCAGCCTGCATTCTCATGCCCTACTGCAAAAATGTGGTGGGATAAAGGCCTGCTTCTCCTTTCAGTGATGCCAAGCTCACCCACTCAGGAGGGGGATTCAAGCACTTGCAGGTGCATGACCGTAGGGGTGCCAGGGTCTTGCTGTCCCAAATCAGGGGCAGGCTGCTTGAATGGTGGCTGAGATGAAGGTACTCTTGGGGTAGACAATTGGGTTCTGGGGCACTTGGGATCCAGGAGGCCATTTCTGGGCCCCGTGGCAGTCTTCCTAGCATCAGCCTCCTCCTTCTGAGAATGTGCAGCAGCACCAGCTGAGCTAAAGGTGAGCTGGGAGACAGGTATCATGGGAGTCTAGTCTCGCCAAAAGAGGCTCTGGCCTGCAGGAGCTCAAGAGCAGAAACATGGGAGCAAACACCCATAACTAACCCCATATGTGGGCTCCTTCACACCCTCGGCTGAAGAACAGAACAAACTCCACTTTGAGAAGATTCTTCTAACACATGGAGGCTTTAAGTCCTCTGACACTGGGGGAACCTCTGAGAGCTAACCATTTGGGTCCTATGTTAGCCAGGTTTCATTGTCATAATGAGATACCTGAGGCAGGACACTTATGAAGAAAAAGGTTAGCTCACAGTTCTGAAGGTTCAAGGTATGAGACTGGCACCAGCTCTGCTCTGAGGCCTCTTGGTGGCGTCACATCATGGCAGGTGGCAATGTGGGAATGTATACAGGAGCAAGTGGACACACAGACAGGAAGCCAGAGATATTCAGGCCAGGCTTTACAGCAACTCTCTCCCGAGAATCACTAGGAAGTGCTTGCTTTGACAGCAGATACTAAAATTCCAATGATAAGGGAAGATGAGCATGGTCCTTGTACAGGATGACATCCAAACTCACAAAGTGTTCCATATTTAAAGGAAAAAAGGAGGGGTCCCAGGAGAACTTTCTTAAACCCCGCTGAGGATTCAACCCCAGTGACCTAAAAACCTCCAACCACACTCTACCTCTCAGAGGTCCCATTGCCTCCTTGTTGCCAGTGATGGGTAAATGAGGTACCCAGAACATAGAATACTGAACCCTCCCAACACATAGACCTTTTGGGGACAAACCACCAATAGTTTCCAAGTTATGAAATTTGCAAGGACTTACTGTCTGGGCTCAGAGCATGAAATCTTAAGATTGGGAACTTAGTGCTCCTAGTACTTTGAGCTGTAGCTTGAGAGGGCCTCAGAAGCAAGGTCTCTTCTTCTCCTGTCCTCCCCCAACCTCAAGTGAGTCACAGATACTAGAATTATCCTTTCCTAAGGCAGGTCATAGAAACCAAAAAGCCTCCCACAAAGCAAGCCATAAAACTACCAAGTTCACTCATTCATTTGAAGATCCTCATTCTAGCGGGGACCTACCTACCCCACACCCAGAGGAAGGAATGCTACAGAGAGATCAAGAAGAATCTGAACAAATAGAGAAGGAATGCTACAGAGAGATCAAGAAGAATCTGAACAAATAGGCCTTACTGCCCTTCCCCCCATTTATTAGCATTATCAGTTAACATCCTCTTGTCCAATTTCATTTTTGTATGGCTGTCCACTTTCCATTGATCCTAAGCATCATTAAAAACAGGCTCTTTGGGTCTTCATTGATGAAGGCTGTCATGTCCTGTAAAATTTTGACATAAATTTCTTACACTTTTCTTACTGTCTTTTGTTATGGAGTGTCAATTGTTATCACACCTTCCCATCCCTACAAAACCATTAGGACAGGGACATGCATCTCTGCAGCTGTAGGTGATGCATGGTGATTTATGTAGCATGTCTGAGAAGGTGGCACCCAGTAATGGCAGGGGCTCTGAGTACAGCTGAGAGTTGATGGCAAGCCTTCCTAACGAAAGGCAGTACAAGGCCTACTGCTTCAACTGGAAGGTGAAGAGATTTCAGTCCATGTCACCTGCAGTATATGCCCAGAGGTTTTTCAGGGCAACCTTTCATTTAAAAAAAGATTCCTCCAGCAGAGTGGACTGGGAATTGTGTAGAGGCCCATGCCCTCTCCTGCTCTGTGCTGAGACAGAAGGTGCCTAGGCTCCTTCCATGGCTGCAGGAGCCTAAACTGCCAGCTGAGACAGAGCAACTTACAGAAAAATCACAACTACACTCAGAACTAGTTTCTTACTCAACTATTAAAGGTTGAGCAGTGGTCCCCAAAAGGTATGTCCATGTTGTTAATCCTTGGAACAAGGAAAGGTGACACCTTACTTGGAAAGAGTCTTTGCAGATGTGATTACAAGTCATCTTAATTCCAGGGATAGACATCCTAATGAAGAGAGGACACAGATACAGGGAAGACCATAGGAGGACAGCAGGAGAGAATGAGTTCTACTAGCCACAAGCCAAGGAACACCAAGGACTGCCACAGCCAGTAGAGAAGCAGTGAACGGATTCTCCATCAGAGCTTCCAGAAGGAACCAACCCTGTCTGACACCTTGACTTTGCACTTCCAGTCTCTAGAATGGTGGAAAACATTTCTGTGGTTTTAAGCCTCCCAGGTGGTCATTTAAAGAGCCCAGGATACACTCATCAACACACTATTTTACCCCAAAGCTGCCTCAGCTGAGAGTACAGAACACTAGGGAACAGAAGTCACCAACTCCTGTGTGCAACCTAAGCCTCTCTTTGCCCACCTGTGGGAATCTATGCATCCAGTGGATGCCTCAGAGCAATACCCACTTACCTAATAAACCAATGAAAATGCCAGCTTTTTTTTTTTTAATTTTAATTTTTCAGATAGGGTCGTCCTATGTTGCCCAACCTGGCTTCAAACTTCCAGGTTCAAGTGATCCTTCTTCCTAGCCTCCCTAGTAGGTAGGACTGTAGATATGGCCCTTACTCTTATGTTCATTTCATCCACCTTCCATTGCCCGGGGGGTCATGGTCAGGGCAAGCTCAAACAGGCTGCAGCACATATAAAAGGCAAGAGACCAGGTCTCCATGGCACTGTGCAGTTCAAACACCTCAGCTCAAGTCCGGTGGACTTCTTGGTGAGAGGGGAAAGTCTTGGTAGCAACATCCTAAGATGGCAGCAAGACACCAAGCCACCTGCAGATCTGTCCTCCTCTCCCAGCCCTGGGAACAGTCTTCTCCTTCAGAGGTTAGGTTTTAGGAGCTTCTGTGTTCTGGGGACCTCTTTTACCCATCACTGCATCTCAGCACAGATCCCTATCATGTAGGACTATGCTGGGTCATTCTGCTCCACTAGGACAAATCACTGGAGTCCATCAATTCTGTCTTCTGCCTCCTGGTTACCAGATGGGCCAGCCACATTTCTCCATCTTGTAATCAACTGCTGGTTCTGTGCTGGTCCTGGAGCCAGCGCAGCACTCTGGCCAAGCCAGTACCTTTCCTGGCACTGATTTCTGCTGTGGTGATGTTCTGCTTGGCACATGCAATGATGTCTGGGAGCCTGATTAATGACTTAATTTCCTCCATGGTCATATAACAGGGTAGGTCACTGTAAGTAAAGAAGTGTCCCATCAGAGTGGTGGGTAACACAAGCCTGCCCGACACTCCCCCACTTGCACTTCTTCACTAACACACCAAGGAGCTCCTCCCTGGGACACCTCCCACCCCTCATCCTCCCTCTCAACTTGTAGATCCATACATTTTATTGAAGAGTATCAGGACTGATGCTTTTGCAAGTTGTTCAGCAGAAAGGAGACCCAAGAGATGTGCACAGGATGCAGAGAGCTGAGTGGGATTTGAGGCATCGATCATGAACTGGAGAAGAAAAACACATCAGAACACCCTGCTATGGAAGACAGTCCTGGCCAAACCTCGTCCCACAGATGTGGCTCAGAAAGAGCACAATGACTGTATCCTTAAATTTTTATTTCTTTGTTGTGCTGGAGATCAAGTGCTCTACTACTAAGCTACATTCTCAGTCCCCATAATGACTCTTTAAACAAAAGACCTTGGAAATAGGCAGAAGCAGAGAGAAGTCTGTATGAGGATAACCTAATGTGTTTTCATGTATGTGGAAGTCTGTACTTGTGTGGCTATCAGCTCTCCAGCCCAGAATTTGGGGCATGGGCCAGACTTGTAGAGATGGGACCAACCAAGATGTAGAAATCAAGCATAAATATAATACATACCCAGGGACCAAGGCAGAGGAAAATAGATAACCACCGGCAGCAAGCTCCCCCTGGCCTCAGCTCTAATGTCAGCTCAGAAGCACCAGCCCCGGAGCAAACAAGTGTAGCCTCAGCCCTGTTTTCTTGACTAGTACAGACACCAAAAAAACCCCAAATTCCATTCTATACAAAGCGGGGTCCAGGACTTGACAACTCTGGGACGTAGACATACTTCTTTAAAAGAAGTTCAAAAGATAATGACCCACCAGGAGCGAATGGCAGTTTCCGTAGTAACTGGACCAGATGGGACCCATGCAACCCCCAAGCTCCCGAATGGTGATCTTTTTCTGGGCCCCGATGTCGGTAAGGTTGGTGCCCACCTGCGGGAAAAACCACGATGCAGAGAGAAAAGAATGCACAGCAGTGCGTGCCCCTACTGTGACTTACACCCCGCCACAGCTCAGGCCCACGGCAAGACCCGCCAGCCAAGGAAAGCAAAAGCAGCTTCCCCTAGGGGTCAGGGGCCACGCCCAGCAGGGGGACGGGATGGGCCTTGAGGACGACGGAGACATGCGTCCCATGGGGGAAGAGAGGAAAGGGCTGGCAGGAGGGTGGTCCCCCGGGACCCGCCAGGCTCAGCTCTGTCCACTGGCTGGAGTCTCTGTCCTGGAAACCCCGCTCTCTTCTCTCGAAGACTGTCCTGAACACACTGTCCGGCCGCACCGCGCCTTCCACTTGGTGGGGCAAGTCGCAAAGTTTGCAAGCCGCAAAGGTGACCCGTTTTAGTCACACGTGCGGGGCGGACACCTACCGTGGGCCGCGTCGGCGGAGGCTCCCCCAGGTCGCCCGTGCCATCCCGAGAGCTCAGCTGTGCGGGCTGTTCAGGATCCACCCGCAGCAGAGGGAGGAGTCCCCGCGCCGGGAAATCCCAGGGCGTCCCCCTCCCCGGCCCGAGGTCCCCCTCCCGCCCACGAGGCACCGAAAGATATTTTGTAGGCGTTTCACCAACAGCGTCTTCCCAACGCCGGGAGCCCCCAGCAAGAGACACATCCCCAAAACCGGCTCTGTTCGGCACCCGTAGAGGTCAGCACCAGGCTGCGCAAGGCCCGCCTCCCATTGGCGAGATCTTGCTTCCAAGTTGTTTATTGGCTCTAGGAACTCACCGCCCCCTCGGCCGCGGCCCAATCGACGTGCAGCGTCTTTGGGCGAGCGGAAGGCCTCGCCTCCTCCCGGCTCCCAGGCCGGCGCGGCGACGTGCGCGTGCGCGCGCTGGAAAAGCAAGGCGGAAGCGGAAGTCGGGGGGGCGCGCCAGCCGCGAGCAACGGGGCGCGTACCGCGACGGTCCGGTCCGGTCCGGGGTAGCCATGGGGCGAGGCAGTGGCACCTTCGAGCGTCTCCTAGGTAACTCGACCGCCTTGCCAGGCCCGTGTCCGCGTTCCTGCTCCCTAATCCAGCGCGGTCCCGCGGATCGGAGGGGAACGGGCCAGTCGCCCTTCCGTGGCTCCCCGGCCGCGGGCCTTGCCGGGAGCGCGGCGCAGTCCCTCGGACTCGGGTGTGGCCCGCTGGGCAGTGTTCATCGCCCCTGGGCGCCAGCGAGGGCGGCGCTGTGAGGGTCGACGTGGGGCCTGGCATCCTTCCTTTCCGATCGCACTGGACCGACTGGGCCCAAGTCCTGAGTCACGAAGTGGGTGACTCAGATCTGAGCCTTACGCTGGCCCTCTGACCCGAATGTCTGCCCGTCTGCTTTCTGGACTTTTTGGGCCCCTTGACGTCTCCGTCCTGGGATCCGGGCCAGCCCCGTTTGTCCAAGGCATTTAGAAAGGCCTTTCCTGTCTCCTTGGTGGAGGTGTTAGGTGATCCTGTGCGAGCTCCTGGAGAGTGCAAATTTTAGGAGGGAAAGTGAGTTGTTATTATTTTGCGGCATTGGGGTTTGAACTCAGGGTCTCACGGTTGCTTGGCAGGCGCTCTTACCGCTTGAGCCACTTCTCCAGCCCACAAAGTGGGTTTAATATGCATTTCACTAATGTGAAAATGGGCTGTATCTAAGCACCGGGTGCTGTGGTCTGCCCCTTTCTGAATGAAGATTGTGGTTTTTTTGTTTTTTTGTTTTTTTCCATCTTCTCTCACCCACCACCGACTCCCAAACAATTTACCTATGAGCCCCCCGGGAACAGCAAGACTCAACTTGGTTCAGACCCACATCCCATCTCAAGTACTGCGCCCTCTTCCAGGCTTTGTCCTTTAGTCCCCTGCCACCTTTCAGACTCTGCTCCCTCAACTCCTGCAACCTCTTGGCCACCCCTTGCACATCTCCATTTCTGCCACTCCCTTTTTCCTCTTTCCCTGTCCGCCCTCATCCTCCTTTACACTTCTGTCACCTTTGCTCCTGTGGCATGCTGAATCACTTCAACTCTGCGGTTCCTTTCCATACCCTAACTTTTTCAGCTGCTCCTCAGTTCCTATGCCCACTTCCTGACCTGTACCTTGATTTAGCTCTTTATAACCCCTGCCACCTTCTTCTTACCCTCTTTTCCCTTCCTGGTGCCATACCCTTTCCAGCTTGCTCATCAAATCTTGGCTCCTTTTCCACCTGAAGTGAGATTTTGAGGGGACCTCAGAGCACACATCTTCCTTGCTCTTGGGATATACAGACTGAGTATGGTTCAGCAATTGAAGAATGAATCCAGAAATTTGCTGAATTAGTACTGCAAGCCACAAGGCCATTAGGCTGTTTCTGTAGCCAGAGGAAGATGAAGAGTAGAGCAGTAGCCTGTCGGAGAGCCTGCTGGTCAGAGGTGATGAGTGAGGACAGGTGTTAGCTTGGAGTCCCTTCATCCCACAAAGCACTGTCTGAGTTGCACATGTCCAAGGCTTGCCTAGCTAAGATTTACTCAAAGGGACCCAAAGGCCAGGTGACAGAACCTTGTGTTTCAGACTTGGGCAGTGACCTTGCCTCTGCTTGGTTTCTACATCTGCAAAGCAGGTGGAGATAGTGCTAACTCGAAGTTGTTTAGGAATTGAGTAATTTACATACAGCACTTGGAATGACACCTGGTATATAACAAGCATAGCAGCCATCGTGTCATTTTCGTTTATTTTCTTTTCACCTAGAAAGAATGGCATTTTCATGGTTGTCAGTGTACTTCACTAGGATTTTCATGTGGCTTTCCATTTGCTCTAAATGTCTAAAAGGGGAAGGAGGGGATAGCTGAGCTGGGGGCTGTTCAGTGAACATATCAGGAGGAGCTACCAAAATGGTTTCTCTCTCCCTTAGACAAAGCCACCAGCCAGCTTCTGCTGGAGACTGACTGGGAGTCCATCCTGCAGATCTGTGACCTGATCCGTCAGGGGGACACACAGTAAGTGAGGAGGGCTGTCTGTAAAGTGTGGAGGCACCGTGCACAGAGCCGGGGGCCACTGTTCCTCCAGCATTGAGTTGACTGCACAAGGTCCTTGTGCAGATAATCATGTGGTCCACATGCTGGGAGTTTTGATATTGTGGAACAGTTAAGAGATTTTTCCTATGTAACTTGGAGATACCTTATTCTGTTAATTTTTTGCTTGAAGGGTCTGAAGGGTCAAGATAGTGGCTGCATTTTCTCATTTTATTTGCTGAGACTTTTTTTTTCTTTCTCTATTACCAATGTTCTTTTTTTGTTTTAGAGCAAAATATGCTGTAAATTCCATCAAGAAGAAAGTCAATGATAAGAATCCACATGTGGCCTTGTATGCCCTGGAGGTAACTAGTTCTGGCTACAGTGTTCTCTGGTCTCCAGCCTCCAATCCCTGCCCTCCAACAGTCAGGTAGTCTTGCTCACCTAATTGGACACACAACAACCAGTGACATCCCGCTAACCTTGAGTACAGCTGTGAGCAGTGCCACAGGGGAGGGAAGGAAGGCTGATGGTTTTCCAGCTGTAGTCCATACATAAATCCTAAGGCTCGGTTCCCGTTTTTCTTGACAAGCTATAGCATCAGAGTAGGCATGGTACATGGACTGCTACTGGTTTCTAGAGCTGTCACTTAGGGTTCCCAACTGGCTGGGTAGCCTGAGAAGACTGTCATAATCCTGTATTTCACAGGAAGGGGGATGGCCATTGCCCCACCCTTCCTTTCCTTGGGGTCTGCAGGTCATGGAGTCTGTGGTGAAGAACTGTGGCCAGACGGTTCATGATGAGGTAGCCAACAAACAGACCATGGAGGAACTGAAGGAGTTGTTGAAGGTAAGTGCCTCCAGAACCCTGGGGAAGAGTAGGTAGCAGGTATAGTCACCCTTGTTTTTCTGGGTGTTTATTGGGTACCCCCAACAGGAATAGCACCAGGCACCCAAAAGACATGAAGGTGAGAGTTTGGTGGCTCCTGTTCTGTGATCTCGAGTTGGCCTGGAGAGAGAGGGCCTCTAGGCCCAGGCTAGTGACTGGGTTACAGAAGCTAGTCCAGGTGCTGTGCCTGGGCCTGGGAATCTTCTTGAGAGTTGGGGAAGGCTTGCAGCTGAGTCTTGAAGGGCAATGGATTGCTTTTTGTGGATAGAAGTAGTGGCAGATGCTGTGTATGTGAGCAGAAGCTTGGAGAGAGCACTTGGGCAGCATGTCCTGGGTGTGGGAGGGATCTGAGCAGGGGAGGCACAGAAGTTCAGATATGTTTCTGGCAGAGTCAAGAGGACAAATAGCAGAGCAAGGAGCTACCTTGTGGGACCTATACCCTCACTGGCAGAGTAGGAAAAGCCTTCTGGATCCCTGGGAAATTGTCCCCAGGGCCCCCTATAGGGATTGTGATATGGGTGGTGATGCAGAGCAGGGGTGGTGTGGCCATTGTTTGAGATAAAAGGTCATCCCATGGTGGGCGCCAGTGGCTCATGCCTGTAATCCTAGCTACTCAGGAGGCAGAACTCAGGAGGATCATGGTTCAAAGCCAGCTGGGGCAATAGTTCTCAAGATCCTATCTTGAAAAACCCATCACAAAAAAGGGCTGGTGGAGTGGCTCAAGGTTTAGGCTCTGAGTTCAAACTCCTGTACCACAAAAAAACAAAGCCAAAAAGGGCATCCCATCAAGGTGAGGCTGCACTCCTTCCGATGTAACCTTGGGTCCAGGTCTCATAGGAGACCCCCCCAACCTGGACAGTTGGGCTCTTCAAAAGTCCTAACTCTGACCTTGGCCAGCAACCTGTGCTGCTTTGGCTGGAGGCAGGGAAGGCATTAGAAGCTGGCCCTATTCCTTTGGTGCTACAGGTGCTCTAGGCCAGTTTGCTTCCCTGTAGGGGGCAGGGCCACTGGTGGACACCTGTGTGAGTCTTGCTGTGTCTCTTCAGCAGCTCTCATCACATCCTGTGCCACTCTCAGCATCCAATGTTATGACTTCCCTGAGAGTGCCAGACTCCAGGCTGTGCTACGTGCTTACCTAGTGGCAGTGGTGGCTCTCAGGGCTTAGAGCCCCTGTATGTGAAGCTTCCTGAGCGGCTGCCCCCCTGCCTCTCCTGGGCTGTGCCTAGAAGAGGCTCTGACTCTGCATTATCTGTGTCCTCAGCCCAAGGTGATGTTTCATGGTCAGGCCTGGTTGATGCTGGCTGTTGGAGGCCAGTGGGAGCTGGGTTTAAGTGATGGTTGTGGATTCAGGGGAATCCTGTGGGAAAAGGGACATGTGGCTGTGGCTCTGGGATCTGGAGCTTTCTGGCTCCTGGAATCCCCTTTTCTAAACCCTAGGGTTTAGAAAAGAGTCAGGGCCCTGAGCAAGTATAAATGTGTAAGGATTCATGCAGGGGGTCTGGGTTCCCAGGTTGATGCCCCATCCAGAGACCCTTCCTAGCTTCTCTGCCAGCCCTGTCTGCTCAGAGCACTGGGTCTTGCCAGCTGTGTCCTCACACTGAGACCTCTGGCACCTTGAGTCTCCTGCGGCCCTCCCCACCTCTCCCTGCCCTACAGAGGCAAGTAGAAGTAAATGTCCGGAACAAGATACTGTACCTGATCCAGGCCTGGGCACATGCTTTCCGGAATGAGCCCAAGTACAAGGTGGTCCAGGACACCTACCAGATCATGAAAGTGGAAGGTGAGTCAGGGTAGGGGAACGGGTTCCAATCTGAGGCTAGGAACAGAGCCACCAGGAGCTTCAGGGCTACTTTGCTGCATGGAAGGAATCAAACCCAGATGGGTGTGGAGCAAGGGAGGATAGGCCCATTTTACTAAATGACTGGTGGTGGGAGCAAAGGGTGTGTTCTGAGAACTTCAGATAGCCCATGCTCCAAGGCCAGCTCCTGCTTTATGGACCTCCCATTCCATGGTACTGGTGTAGAAGGCAACTGTAGACAGTAAACAGTAAAAAGTTAACAGAGGAGCATATTTCAGAGTGATGTGACCCTGGGGGGAGAGGGGTGCAAGATGAACCATCAGGAAAGGCCTTATGAAGAGGAACCTGGGGTTCCAGAACCTGAACATAAGGAGAAACTACAGGGCCCGGCACCATCTGCGGAGGAGTTTGGGGTTCATAGGCCCTGGGACCAGAGCACACTCAGCCTGCTAGAGGAACAAATTAGTAGCACACACCCAGAAGAGAGCTGGGCTGGGATTTAGTGTTACTGTGTACATCGGGAAGTCACTGATGGGTTTTAAGCCAGGCCATGGCAGCTGAGGGGCCTTTCCTTGGGGTCCCTTCTGCTTTTCTTTGGCTGTTGTGGTGGCCCTGGCAAATTGGTGGGGTTTGAGAGCTGGACAGTGGGCTCAGGACTGGGTGTCCTCTTACAGTTCTTTCTGGGAGGCAGATGTCAGGAGCTGGGAAGCAGTTGGCCAGGGTGGGGCCCAGTGGTGATCACAGCCTTCTCTTCCCAGGACATGTTTTCCCAGAGTTCAAGGAAAGTGATGCCATGTTTGCTGCTGAGAGGGTGAGTCTCTGGGGGCTGCCACTGAATCTTGGAGTAGGGCTGTTCTGAGGAATCAAGGAGGGAGGTCTTAGAAGTTTGTCTTGGGCATTGGTAAGGAAGAGATGTTTTGTCAGAGATGAAGGATGTGACATTTCAGGAGTAGAAAATGCAGCTATGACTGAGGTCAAGATGGAGACATGTTCATGGTGCCTTTGGGATGTAGCTACTGGGTTCAAATAGTTAAAACAAGTATTTAAGGCGGGGGTGTGGCTCGGTGGTAGAGCACCTGTCTAGTATGTACAAGGCCCTTGTTTTAATCTCCAGTGCCACACAAAAAAAAGAAGAAGAAATGTTTACACATTGCTAAAACTGTGGGAAGTGCCAATGTCTCACCTTTGATTAAAAATGAAGTCCGTTTGGAGGGAGCTCTCTCTGGGCTACGTGATTTTGGCACAACTGCTCTTGCCACACTGAGATCTTTTCTGGGTCCCTTTTGTATCTGGGATGTAGGGGGAGGATCTGCCACCTCTGGGAGCTTGGGGGAATGAGGTTGGGGACAGTGTGGTTCTGACTCTGCTGCCCCCCAGGCTCCTGACTGGGTGGATGCTGAGGAATGTCACCGGTGCAGAGTGCAGTTTGGGGTGGTAACCCGAAAGGTGAGTGCCCTCCCCTTGGGGTTGTGCTTCATGGCCCAGCTCCTGCCTTCTTCACACACAGCTGAACAAACCCAAGGCAGTCACTGAGGCCATTGTACTGTCAGCAAGATCCTGTCCTATCTGCAGTATTCTAATGGTTCTGGAAACAAGTCTAGCTTGAGGCTGTTTGGTGCATGGAGCAGGAACACTGAGATTCTGTGTTGGTCAATGTCCTCAGCTGAAGTTGTCCTGATAGCCCGGCATCAAAAGTAGAGCCCAGCTTCATTATGAGGATCCCAATATCCTAAGCCTGGGTTAAGGTTCTAGCCAAGGCTGCTCTACTGTGTTGTTATAGCCCAGTGACCCATTTCTTCAGGTGACTTAGTTTGCCTGGACTCTGCCCCCTGGAGTACTGTCTCATTTCCCACTGAAGCACCAAAAGTTGGCAGTTGTGAATGCTGGGTGGGACCCCTGCAGCTCACCCCACTCTAAAGGTTTTGTTTCATCAGTAGAACCTGCACATTTTCTGTTGACTTTTGTTTTTTAACCCTTCTTTCCCCTCAAGTGGTAGCTGAAGTTGAATCCCGTGGAAGTGTTCCTGTTCCCCAGGGCCTTCACGTCCTTCCTAGCTTTTGTTCTGCTTGTCCTGGTTCCTGTCCCTGCTCCCAGGCTTAGCACTGTCCAGGATGGTTCTGGCAGATGGGCATGGCAGGGTAGCACTGGCTCCTGTAACCAGGCCCACATGGCCCTGTCTCACAGCATCACTGCCGGGCATGCGGGCAGATCTTCTGCGGCAAGTGCTCCTCTAAGTACTCCACCATCCCCAAGTTTGGCATCGAGAAGGAGGTGCGCGTGTGCGAGCCCTGCTATGAGCAGCTGAACAAGTGAGTCCCCTTGTAGTCTCCTTGAGGTGCCTTCCTGTCTCCATCCACAGCACTTTGGGGCTGCAGACCTAGGAAGGGCCTTGGAGCATGGCCAGAGGGGCTCGGGGGAAGTCCAGGGCAGCTGTGCACCCTTGGCTAGCACCCCAAACCCTAGGAAAAGCCGTTGGATGGGGTACCATGACCCTAGCAGGCCAGTCACTTATGTTTGGTTTTAGTGTATTTGGATTTTGATGTTCAGAAATAAAACTTAAGCTGGGTGCTGGTGGCTCACACCTGTCATCCTAGCTACTCAGGAGGCAGAGGTCAGGATGGTCGCAGTTTGAAGCTAGCCTGGGCAAATAGTTCATGAGACCCTATCTCGAAAAACCCTTCATAAAAATAGGGCTGGTGGAGTGGCTTAAGGTGAAGGCCCTGAGTTCAAGCCCTAGTACCACAAAAAAAAAAGAAAGAAAACTGAGAGAACTCATTTGTGCACATATGTGCACCCTTCACCTAGATCCCTCAGCTATGGGCATCTTGCCATGTCTGCTCGATGTTGTTTGCCCCATTGTGCACTCACGTGTGTGTGCTTGTGTTTTACAAGTGAGTTGTGGACTTTGTGGTCCTTTATTCCTGAACGTGTCCTGGTGCTTTTCCCAAGGAGGTGTGTTCTCTGCGGTAGTCAGCATTGTAATATGACTTCTGCATTGTGGGACTAACACACGCTCTGCTGTAGAGGCTCCAGTGTCACAGTTGTTCCGGGAGGGTTCTTTGTTGCTTCTCTGTCCCTGTCCGGGTCCCTCAGGTTACTTAGTACATTGCCCTTTGTCAGCCTGTCAGCCTGGCCCCTTTACCCTGCATGTATTTTCAGCCTCTGTAGTCTGGGATATAGCCCTTTCTGGAGTGCAGGCTGTGATGGTATATCTTTCTATTTGGGTCCAGGGTTACCTGGTACTTAGGTTCAAGTGAGGCTGTGACCCTACTTGGATCTCTCTGTTACTGGTGATGCAACTTAAACCACCTGGTTCAAGGGTCTGCAGGCCACTCCCTAAGGAAGGAACTTTGCTTTTTTTTTTTTGATGGTACTAGAGTTTGAACTCAGGGCCTCACTTGCTAGGTAGGTCTTGTACCACTTGAGCCGGCCGTGCCCCCAGGTCCTTTATGCTTCCTGTATGGCAGGGGTAAAAGTCAAATGCCATCATGTCCAGCTTTTTTTTGTTTTTGGTCAGTATGGAATTTGAACTCAAGCCTTCATGCTTACAAAGAAAATGCTGCATCATTTGAGCCATACATCCACCAACACCCTGTTTTTTATTGGTTGAACTGGGGTCTCGTTAGCTTTTTGCCTGACTGGTTTCAAGCCTCAAGCCTCCCAACCTCTACCTCCCAAGTAATGAGGATTTCAGGCATGAACCATCACTCTGGCTCTTTTGCCTTCTTGTGATGAGTAGGAGTAGGAGCCCTCCTGAGACCATGCAAACATCCTGCCTTTGAAGCCATTCACACAGATATTTTCCATGGGTGGTGCTCATGACTTGGTTCATGAAGGCAACTGCCATTTCTGAATCTGGGCTGCTTGGTGTCCCTTCTGCCTCTGTCCATTGTGTATGGACCTGCTTTGGGATGGTGTTTCTTTTAGAAAAGAGCGGTGGGCTTCAGAAAGGGAAGGTTCAGCACTTCTGGCTTGAAATTCTGGCCATACAATGAGCATGTGCTGTGAGCAGCCACCTGCTCAGGAGATAATCTGTATGATCCAGATCAGACTCTACAAAAGCCCTGACCTTGCTCTGTGATCATAAAAGTCTTGCTGCCAGAGGGGTGCAGCCTGTACTAGGCACAGGGGATGCACCAGGCAGCAGCTGGTGCTGTAGTTGCTGGGGGTTTTGCATCTGTTTCCAGAAGAGGAACTGTGGCTTAGGCCAAGTGACCGTACCTAGCCCTGGGGGTGACTGAGGATGAGTTCTTCGTGCTGTCTGATGGAGTGTAACCACGGGGCTACATGACCCTATGGAACCTCCACTATCACACCATGGAGACAATCCACTGGAAATCTTGGGCAGCCAGTTGAGAATTTTGGTGAGGGCAGGGCTGGCATCAGCATAAGGTCACCTATAGCATTCCATCTCGCCTCCAGGAAAGCAGAAGGAAAGGCCACCTCTACCACCGAGCTGCCCCCGGAGTATCTGACCAGCCCCCTCTCACAGCAGTCCCAGGTATGGGTCCCGCTGCAGTCCCAAGAGTATCTCTTTCCTGGTGCCCCTTTAACTTGTCCTGTCTGTCCACAGTTGCCGCCGAAGCGAGATGAGACAGCGCTGCAGGAGGAAGAGGAGCTGCAGTTGGCCTTGGCTCTATCGCAGTCAGAGGCCGAGGAGAAGGAGAGGCTGGTGAGCTGTGGAGATCCTTCAAGGGAGACCTTGGGTTTTCCTGGCAGTGCTGGGGGAGCACCCATAGTGCTTAAGAGGGTAGAAGTGTGCCACATGCTCTCCCAATAACACCTTTCTTGTTCCACTTCAGAGACAGAAGTCAACATACACAGCGCACCCCAAGGAGCCCACACCCCTGGCATCATCAGCGCCCCCAGCCAGCAGTCTGTACTCTTCTCCTGTGGTAAGTTTACTGTTCTGCTTGGCCTACATGGGAGTCGAGGTTGGGGGGCACCCCCTTACCATGTGCAGAGACCATGGTGCCTGGCTTTCCTGGTCCGGGGCTCCCTTGTAGGGCTAAGGACACCGAGGAAGGACATTGACACCTTGTGGGTGAGACCCTTTTTCTTCCACACTCCTTTGCGTGCCTTGGGCATTAAAGGACCAGTCTTCTGGGGAGGAGGGAGTCCCTGACACCCTTCACCCTCAGCCACACTTTGTAAATAGGGTGCTGCAGGCTTAGGAAGTTGTTTGCAGGCTCCTCGGGGCTCAGGGCCAGAGACTCAGCCACTGCTGGCCAAGTAGAGTTCTCTCTTCCTCCAGTTGTCAGTAGAGCTCCCCAGCAGGGCTGTGTGAGGGTCAAGCAGGGTGTCCACACATCCTAGCACTTGTGCTGGGATTCATGTGAGGGCTGGTCAGGTGCTGCCCTGAACCTTAATGTTAGGTGGGGGTCACATGGCAGGCGGCGATTTCACGGCCTTTCTGAGATCTTAAGATTGTGTTGCCAAGAGAAGGGAAGTGCGTACTTAGCTGCCTGCCACAAAGGAACCTGTGAAGTGAGGGGCTGGCATCTACTCAGACAGGGAGCTGTAGTGTTGGGTCTGCCATCACTGGGGGCCATATAACTGCTCTTCTTGGCCTTTGACCCCTCAAACCCCTCTTGTCTCCCCAGAATTCATCAGCACCTCTGGCTGAGGACATCGACCCTGAGGTAAGGACTCTGGCATGGGGTGCTGTCCTCTTGTGCTTCCTGTCTCATTTAAGTGACTCTCCATTTGTTGTTGTACAGCTTGCACGGTACCTCAATCGAAACTACTGGGAGAAAAAGCAGGAAGAGGCTCGGAAGAGCCCCACACCATCCGCACCTGTGCCCCTCACAGAGCCAGCTGCCCAGCCTGGGGAGGGGCACACAGCCCCTGCCAACATGGTGGAGGTGAGAGGCTACTGGTTTCTGGTCCCTGGGGGTTGGGTGTGGGACAGGCCGGAGGCCCTCTCATCCTCTGGTCTCTTCCAGGCTCCCCTCCCGGAGACAGACTCTCAGTCTATGACTCCCTCTGGTGGCCCATATAGTGAGGTAAGCTGTGGCTCCTTCCATGGGCAAAGGGGAAACACACCAGAATGCCGGTTCTGACCAGAGGGCTGTGCCAGAGCGAGAGATCCCACCCAGCCCCAGCCCTGCTTTGCCCATATGGGCTTCTCACGATTAACCCTGTCTGAGTGGTGCAGTGGTCCAGGGCTCCAGCTGCCCTGTAGACCTGACATGGACCCAAACATTCCAGAGCAGCGCAGACCATCCGTATCTCAAGGCTATCCATCAGACCTTACCTGTGTTGCCAGGACAGGGGCTTGCAACCAGCTCATCCTGACTGGCAGTGTGCCTGCCTGATTGAGGAGCAGACTGAGGACAGAGTCAGTTGTTCACTCCAGGCTCAGAGCACAGCAGGCGCTTTCTGGATGCCACTGGTGCCACTGCAGGGGTGCTGCTGAGGCCTGGCAGACAGAGTGGTCCCTGCCTGAGGAGGATGGCTCAGCTTCGGGTGCTGTGGTGCTCAGTCGCCTGCCTTGTGTTCCCAGCAGCAGTACCAGAACGGGGAGTCAGAGGAGAGCCACGAGCAGTTCCTGAAAGCCTTGCAGAACGCTGTCACCACCTTCGTCAACCGCGTGAAGAGTAACCACATGCGGGGCCGCAGCATCACCAATGACTCGGCTGTGCTGTCCCTCTTCCAGTCCATCAACGGCATGCACCCGCAGCTGCTCGAGCTCCTCAACCAGCTGGACGAGCGCAGGCGTAGGTGCCCATGTGCCCTCTGAGCATCCCTCCTTCCAGCACCATGGAGGGCGTTGAGAGGCTCAGCTCTCGCATGTGCAGTCGTTTTTTGTGAGCACTCATGGGTGCTTAGCCCTAGTAGCTCCTGGGATGAGGGGCCTGCCCCAAGAAAGTGGGGGCTCTTGCCCATCTTTCATTGAGGTCATGGGCTCCTCAAGAGGGTCTCCGTGGAAGTGGTCCCAGAGATTGGCCCTGCCTGAACACTCTCACCCAGAGCCCATGTGCCCAGAGCCTCTGGGGAGAAGGGCTAGGCTTGGCCTTGCCAATTGCAGAGGCCAGCTGGGCACAAGGAGGGCCATCATTGCCCAGGACAAGAACCTACACCTACTGTGCCATCCACCTTTGCTGGACTAGTTAGAGCTGCCCTGCCCTCTGCCCACAGTGTACTATGAGGGACTGCAGGACAAGCTGGCACAGATCCGTGATGCCAGGGGGGCACTGAGTGCCCTGCGCGAGGAGCACCGGGAAAAGCTGCGCCGGGCAGCAGAGGAGGCTGAGCGCCAGCGTCAGATACAGCTGGCCCAGAAGCTGGAGATCATGCGGCAGAAGAAGCAGGTGCAGCCACCTAACCCAGCATGTGGGCTGGGGAGGCCCAGGCTGGCCCAGGCTGGCCTAACCACCACCTTATCACCTGTCATAGGAGTACCTGGAGGTTCAGAGGCAACTGGCCATCCAACGCCTGCAGGAGCAGGAGAAGGAACGGCAGATGCGTCTGGAGCAACAGAAACAGACCGTCCAGATGCGCGCTCAGATGCCTGCCTTCCCCCTGCCCTATGCCCAGGTAATTGCTATCCAACCCTCCCCACATCTTGTAGACCAGGGACTTCTGTCACTGCCATCTTCTTTGTATCCAGCTCCAGGCCATGCCCTCGGCTGGGGGTGTGCTCTACCAGCCCTCAGGCCCAACCAGCTTTCCTGGCACCTTCAGCCCAGCAGGCTCAGTGGAGGGCTCCCCCATGCATGGTGTCTACATGAGCCAGCCAGCGCCAGCCGCTGGCCCCTACTCCAGTATACCCAGCAACGCAGCAGGTAACCTTGAGGTGGAGGGCCAGCACCAGTTAAGATGACGCCAGAACACTGTTTTCTTTCTTTCTTTCTTTTTCTTTCTTTTTGATGGCACTGAGGCTTGAACTCAGAGCCTCATGCTTACTGGGCTCGCTAGGCAGGTGTTCTAATCACTTAAACCACTCCACCAGCCCTTCTTTGGTTTTATTTTAGTTTAATTTACAGAAAGTTACAAGAACAGAACAAAGAATTTTCTAGATACCCTAAATATGAGTATTTTCTTATAATTGCTTTTTCTCTCTGTATGGACAAGCATGTACACACACACACACACACCCCTTTCCTGAACTGTTTTCAGCTTAAGGGTAAGGGGCAGGTCATACCTCTTTACCCAATATGCATTTCCTGAGACCGGGGCCCTCTTCACAGACTGGCCCAGTAATAACCGAAACCCCATGGCATGGCCCTCTGTTAATCTCTTGTAGTCTAGAACATTCCTCAGTCTGTTTTGTGTTATATGACGCTGACTTGTCAAGAGTCCTGGCCTGTGGTCAGTTAGACCATCTTCAGTGTGGGTTTGTCTGGTGTCTCCACCTGCCGACACCTGGGACTGCACTTTTGGTCAGAACAGTACTGGATGGAGCTGTACTGTGAGGGACACATTGCATTGCTTAGTCCCTCCTCCCCTCTGAGGTAGGGTCTGCATGTGTCTTCTCTGTGAGGTTACTCCCTGTTTCTCTGTTATCAGCTGGTGTCTTTGGGAGAGATTGTGAGACCCTGCATACATCTCCTCAGAACTTTGGCCAGCAACTTTAGCATTTTCTTGCTAAATTTTGCCTGAATTTATTGTTTACCAAATAGTGCCTTTCTTATCTATCATTGTCTGCCTCCTGGAAGGGGAACCTTTTCCTTCTCTGCTATTGCATTTATGTCAGTGTGGACTCACAGCTTTGTTCAAGAGGAGTCAGTCCTTTACTGTTGCTGTTGACTTTGATGTTTATGCCATCCAGGTGGGCTCATGGGAGCCCACCAGCTGGTTTGTGTGACCTTGACTGACCTGTCACCTACTAGTTTGCTCTGGTGTACATGCAGACCAAACACAGAGTGCTGTACTTGGCTTGTCTGTTTTCTGCCCTTTCTCTGGGAGCCCTGATTCCTCTTAGTGAGGAAGGACTTTAGAGTCCAAAGTCTCAGGGCCAGATATGCTATAATCCCCACATTTGAAAGGCAGAGGCAGGAGTGCGAGTTTGAGGCCAGCCTGGGGCTACTTAGCAAGATATTTCAAAAAAAAAAAAAGGGCCAGGGATATAGCTCAAGTTGTAGAACCCCACAGAATCAGTCAAACTAAACAGCAGCAGCCAAGGGCTGGGTTCTTGGGGATTTCTCAAGTTTCTAGGTCCTGTCATCAGAGGAGCTGAGAAATGTGTGTATATGTGCAAAAAGAACCATGTAAGTGTGTGTGTGTGGTATGCAAACATGTCTTCATGTAGTATTAAACCATAAGCTCACTCCAGGACCTCCTATTCCAGCAGCTTGCCATGTTTACCTAATACATAGAAGGTGGTTTCAGGAATGCTCACCTGGGGCCAAGTGAGAAAGTGGAACCCCCGCTAGGGTTGAGTTTTCTTTGCTCCTCTTGTGCATGCCTGAAGCCATGGAGTCCTTCCAAGTTTTGGGCTCAGAACTCACTAGGGTCAGCTATCCCTAACCCTTCAGTGTGATTATGACTAGTTCCAAATATAGTTTGGTTCTTTTGTTCTCATTTAATTCCTTTAGGACCCACTTTCTATCCTCGTTTGTCTTTATTTATTTTCTGTTTTTGAGAATGTGACGCATGAACTTGACTCCAGCAGTCACAACAAAAAGACACTCCACCCCAGGGCTGAACCAGCTCACCTATCTTCTTTGTCACAGATCCCAGCATGGTGAGCGCCTACATGTACCCAGCAGGGACTCCTGGGGCACAGACAGCCCCCCAGGCCCAGGCTGCACCCACCGCTAGCCCTGCCTACTCATCTTATCAGCCCACTCCTACCCCAGGCTACCAGGTATGAAAGCAGCGCTGCATCCGTCACACCTGTGCCCTGCCCTGCCTTTTCCCCCATTGCACTTCTTCCCTTCACAGAATGTGACCTCCCAGGCCCCACAGAGTCTCCCAGCCATCTCCCAGCCGCCACAGTCTGGTACCATGGGCTATATGGGGAGTCAGTCAGTGTCCATGGGCTACCAGCCTTATAACTTGCAGGTAAGGAGACCTGGTGCCCCACCCTTGGTGCTCACCACTGCCCTTCCCTTTCTGGATCCACTGGTGGTCACCTTTTGATTTCTTTAAGCCAGGAGGGCCCATTGTCTGGTAACAAGGCTACTCTCTCAGTGTCAGGCTTTATTTCACTCTTCACAGACTCTCATGACCACCCTCCCTGGCCAGGATGCATCTTTGCCACCCCAGCAGCCCTACATCACAGGGCAGCAGCCCATGTACCAGCAGGTGAGCTATCACAGTGACTCCTTTGGCACTGACAAGTCTTGGGCTTTCTGGGTTGATGTGGTCAGGTGGATCCCTGATCCTGGTGGGGCCTTCCAGTTCACCAGCTTACTGCAGGAGACAGATTTATACTCTGGGCTGCTTCTTGGCGGACAGAACTAGGACATACAAATCAAGGCAGACCTACATGGCCATACGTAGACAGGAAAAAAAAATGCAAATTTAAGCCAAAGGCTGTATAAATTCTGCTTTCCCTTGTTGAGGGCAACTAGAAATCTGTGCTGGGAGGAAGCTTGTAGACAAAAGCCTTTGTGAGAGGGAAGAGGGATGCTGATTGAGACCCATGTCATTTTCTTTCTCTGCAGATGGCGCCCTCCGGTGGCCCTCCCCAGCAGCAGCCGCCAGTGGCCCAGCAACCACCAGTGGCAGGTCCACCAGCACAGGGCAGTGAAGCCCAGCTCATCTCATTTGACTGATCCAGGGTGCAAAGCTCACTGTCCAGAGTAACACTACAATTCTTTGGAAGCCGCCTCTGTGTCTAACTAGCTTTCCCCTCCCATCTCCCTCTCCCCTTATTGCCCTGTAGTGTCCCTTCTTGTGTGAGCAGGGGGTGGGCCCTGGCCCTAGCCCCCCATCCCCTGTCCTCCGACTGCTGGCTCCTGTCACAGCTCCCGGCTTTGGTCCGTCCTGACTTGTCTCTGACTTCTTTCCCTAGGACTGCATCTCTGGGAGGGAAGGAGGGGACAGTAAGGACCTTCTGGGGGAGCCCCAGTCCTGTGAACAGTAGCTGGCATGGGAACCCTTAGCCTGGTGCAGCTTGCACCTGTCCTAAGTAAGCTGGCTGTGGTGTCCAGGCATGGCCCTGGGTCTCTGCACAGTTAAGAGTGGAGGCTTCAGGCATCTTGAACTTCTCTGCTTGTCCGCTGTTGTCTCTCCAGTGCGGAACAGTGATAATAAATATTTCAAAAATAAGAGTGTTTGGTTGGAACAGGTGCATCCTGAGGCCAGCATGTCCCCAACCCAGGTCCACAGGCAATTGGGCAGTGCCTAGTGCTTTCTGGTGTCAACAAAATACTAGAAACTGCATATTTATAAAGAAAAAATGTATTTCTTACGAGGTGCAAAGCACAAGGTTGAGGGGCCTTGTTCTGTTGATGACCATGCTGGTGGGGACTCTGCAGCTTCCCATCTGGTGCAGGGCAGAGCGGCTTTTACAGCGAACCCACTCAGGACAGCCCCGATCCCCACGACAGGGTCTAAGCGCCTGGTGAAGTTCTCACCGTAGGGGTCAGTTTCGACCCCGGCGCTTGTCATCGGTTTCTGGACATTCCACACCTCATTCCAAAACCCTGCGAGGCTGCATCCTCAGTTGGAATTGGAGGGGGTGGAGGGACGGGCTCCGCAACCACCGTGGCGCCTGGGGCTCTATCCGTGAGAAGGCAGGACCGTCGTCCCCCTGTCCCCCGGGCCCTGGCCGGCCCCGAGCGTCTGGGAGGGAGAAACTGCCGCCACAGGGACCTTGGGAACAGCCAGCCCCGACGCGTCCCATCCCGTCCCGTCCCGGCTGCGCGGCGCGCCGCCTTGTGGGTAACTGCGCGCGCGCGGCTGCTGGAACCGCCCTCCCCTGTCCGAGTACTCTGCGGCTTCACCAGCTAGAGCCGCCCTCCTGCACTCGGATGCTTGGAGGCCTCGCGGCTAGAGCGGCCTTCCGCCACGCGAACGCTTAACGGCTAGAGCCGTCTTCCGCCACGCTAATGCTTAGCGGCTAGAGCGCCTTCCGCCACTCGAACGCTTAGCGGCTAGAGCCGTCTTCCGCCACGCTAATGCTTAGCGGCTAGAGCGGCCTTCCGCCACGCTAATGCTTAGCGGCTAGAGCCGCCTTCCGCCACGCGAACGCTTAGCGGCTAGAGCGGCCTTCCGCCACGCTAATGCTTAGCGGCTAGAGCCGCCTTCCGCCACGCGAACGCTTGCTGGCTAGAGCGGCTCGTGCAGCTCGCCTGCTCGCGGCTAGAGTGTCGCCGCCGCACTGAGCCGCGTGTGACCTTCCCGCCCGCGGAGCGATGCTGCCGGCGGCCGCCTGCTATCTGTGGGGGCCGCGCCTCGGGCTCCGGGGCGCCGCGCTCCGCCTCGCCAGGTACTGCGGGGCCCTAAGCGCCAGAGCCGGGCCAGCGGGCTGGGACGGGTCCGAGTGGAGGGGTGGCGGGCGCGTGGCGACCCTTCGTGGCCCTGCCGGCGGGGCGTGCCGAGGGCCGCACAGCCCGGGCGACCTTGGGTGCTTCGTCCCCGTCGGCCACGGTTTCCTGGCGGCACAGTCCCGTCGGTGCGGGCGGGGGCGCACATTTTGGAAGGTTTCGTGAAGCGAAATGCACCCGTTGAGTTGACACAGTTCATCAACCAGCAGCCTGCCCTGTTCGCTGGGAGTACCACATAGAACTATGTGGATTCCCAAGGCTCTGGGGAACTTAAAGTATCTTGGAAAATTGTCTTACCCGTGCCTGGGGTTTGTGACCATAGCGACGGTGGACCTGAGCGCATGGACCACCGTGCCCTTGGTCTGTACGCCCTCACTCCCTCCCCTCCGTGGCTGACGGCTGTTTGCATGGGGGGGGGGGTTCCCTAGGCAACAGGTGCCGAGTGTTTGTGCAACGCGGCAAATGAGGAGCAGCAGCCACCGAAAGGGTGAGGCGCTCGCAGGTGCACCTCTGGATAACGCCCCCAAGGAATACCCCCCCAAGATCCAGCAGCTGGTCCAGGACATTGCCGGCCTTACGCTCTTGGAGATCTCGGACCTCAACGAGCTCCTGAAGGTATTGGGAAAGAACCGCAGGGACCGGGGACTTGTGTCCGTTCTGAGTATATTTGGGGAGTTTGGTGAATTGCTGAAAGTTTGCTTCTCCAGGTGCCAGAGTCAGCCAGGCTTGGCCCTCCATTAGTATGTTTGGGGTGTGACAGCCAGTTACTGAAACTCTCTGTTCCGCAGAAAACGTTGAAGATCCAGGATGTCAGTCTCATGCCAATGGGTGGCATGGTGCCTGGTGCTGTCCCTGATGCAGCAGCCCCTGAGGTGAGCCCCCGCCTGGGTCCTGAGCAGGAAGAGTTCACCACTGGCCACACATCATGTAGCACTTTCTCTTGTTTTCCTTATCTTGGGTCCTGCAGCTACCATTGGTCTCTGCAGTTTTGATGTCCCTACTATGGATTTCCTGCCGTCCTCTGAGGACCTCTTCCCTACCTAGACTGTGCAAGACTTTGTGTCTAATGGAAGGAACAGACGATAAGCTAAAGAGAGGAAGAAGTTAGACTAAGTAGTGCAGTGTTACAAACACTACTGGAAAACATACAGAAGCAGCTTAACTTGGGTAGAGAGTTAGAATTTCAAGGAATGCCTCAGTAAGGTGACAACAGGGGAAACTTGAGAGGGTCAAGAAAGCAAGACATTCTTAGCAGAGTCCATACACAGGTTCCCAGGCATAGAGTATGGGAGGGGGGTGGAGCAGGTGAGGGGAGGTAATGAGCCCCTTTGTCTCTGTGGGTTTGGATCTCTGAAAGGAACCTGGTAAATTTGAAGCTGCATTTGACTGTTGGTTTAGTGACAAGCCTCTCTCATTGGAGCTTTGCCATCAGCCCCCTTCCCCTGCAAGGGAGCCAGCATGGGTTCTGTATCTCATCACCAATTCAGGGTGCTTGGTGCTTTAGGGGAGCATTAGCAGATTCCCTGCCCTGAGAACCAAAAAGGTAGATTTTTTTTTTTTTTTTTTGGTAGTGAAAGTGACAGTAAAGTTTCTTAGGAATGGAGTACACTTTTCAATAGACTGAAGGCAGGTCATCTCTAGAGTGAGATTGAGAATGACAATTATTTTTACCCTGGCACCAGATTTACTGAGGTGGAAGGGGCTTGGAACAAGGGTAGGGCTACAGATTTACATAGTACCAGCTATTGCTGTGTTCACCTGACTCCTAGGACGTGGTTTACAGGCCAGGGTCTTTGTTTTGTTAAGTAAAAATCAGTTGTTTCAGGAACTGGTGTTGACCTACCTTAGGGTGACTTCCCCTGATCTTGGTGGACTATTTTGATCTTAACAGAGACTGTTAAGAGTTGGAAATTTTTGCCTGGCACTGATGGCCCACGCCTGTATTCTTAGCTACTTGGGAGGCTGAGATTTGAAGGATCAAGGTTTGAGGCCAGCCCACGCAAATAGTTCCCAAGAGTCCGTCTCCAAAATTGTCAGAGCAAAATGGAGTGGAGGTGTAGCTCAAGCAGTTCAAACCTCAGTCCCACCAAAAAAAATAAATAAATAAAAAATTAAGAGTTGAGAATTTTCATTACAGTGTTTTTTAAGAAACCTTGAAGAATTGTGCATTTTAGGTTCCCTTTGCGTATTCCCATCACTCATGGCTAATTGTTACCTACCATTCCACACTCAAGGACTAGAGATGGTAAAATCCTTTAGGAAATGGGGATTCAAAGTCAGTCTTTTGCTACTTCCTGCTGGTAGGAGCATAAGCCTAGGTCAGGAATCTCTTGATCCTATTAACAGCAGTAGTTGTGTTCAAGGAGGAGGAGCCATAATCAGAGGTTAATACAGTTAGCCCTTGAGCTATATCATTTGTACTTTCATAGCGTTGTGTGCAAGTAGACGTATTAGGTCCAAGAGCTGAGTCAAGATGTATTAGATTTGAGATCCAAGTCATGACTTGGATCATGACATTACTGGAGTTAGCACAGCTGTTTACATCAGTCCTTATACCTAGTGGGAGAAGAGTTCAATAGACTGAAAATAGGCCACCTCTCAAGTGAGGAGAATGAGGGAAGATGGCTTTAAAGGCCATTTAGGTTTGAGTTGAACATTTGGAGAACGAACACTGTCTGATTCATTATCTAAACTGGAATGCTTCTGAGAAGGAATAGGAGCAGGCCCAGAACAGGGCTTCCCCAGGAGGCATGGTACACAGAACCTGTTGGCACTGGGTCTTCAGGCGTCATATCAGGAGCCCTGCACACCCATCTGTCCCATTGTTGGTGGCTTGGCAAGGGTGGAGGTTAAGGCCATACTCAGTTTGTCGTTGACAGACTTGTGCCTGGCTGAAGACTAAAATAGTGTTATTTGTCCATATCTACAAAGCGCCTTAATGCCCCTCTTGGCTTCTAAATTAAAATTCTTAAGGGATGAGGGAGGCAAACTGTTGGGAAACAAGGAGTGTGAGGCTCATTTCACAGCTTTTCCCTGTGCGAATGTAGACGCCTTTCTAGGTGAACGGAAGAGGGGAGACATGGGTTGGCTATAAGATAAGCTGGCAGTGCTGGAGGCCGAGAATCTGCCTGGCCTTGCCTGCATGTCCAGATGGGGTAGCCCAGCAACAGACATGTTGGCTTCACTCCATCCTTCCTCGTTTCATCCCCTCTTTGCTAATCTTTTAAGGTGGCAGAAGAAGAAGACCTCCCCAAACAGAAAGAACGAACACATTTCACTGTCCGCCTGACAGAGGCAAAGCCTGTGGATAAAGTGAAACTGATCAAGGAGATCAAGAACTACATCCAGGGCATAAACCTCGTTCAGGTGGGGCTCCCTGTGCTCATAGCCCTCTCCACAGCAAGGGCGTACTGACAGTTCCTAGGGCCTTTGCAGGGCGGGCTTGGTTGTGGCAGCCCAGAGCTCCCGTTTCTGACCCCACTGTCTCTGGCAGGCCAAGAAGCTGGTGGAATCACTGCCCCAGGAAATCAAAGCAAATGTCGCCAAAGCTGAGGCTGAGAAGATCAAGGCGGCCCTGGAAGCAGTGGGCGGCACCGTGGTTCTGGAGTAGCTCCCTGCTTTAAGGATTTGTGGACTGGGGTCCTTGGGACCCAGGAGAAGTTCTACCCAATCCCACGCCACCCCCAGCACTAAGCATCCAGATGGGGCAGGAGCTTCTGGTTGAGGCTGTCTGGGAGGGAAAGGTTGGACCTCCTGTGATGGGGAGGGAGGGGCAGCCACTGCCTATATGGGGCACAAAGAGCAGCTCTGGAACTTACCGGGTTAACATGCCCTTCTGTAGCTGCTGAGAAAAATACACTGTTCAGGCTCTGTGCAAAGTGGTGTGCTCAGGGCTGGTGGTGTGAAGGACCACCTGGGGTGTGGCAGCATGGGGCTTTTCCAGGCTGCTCTTGCCCCTTGCCACCCTTCCCTATCCAGGACATTTCATTTGAGGAGGTACAGACATTCATCAGTTCCCCTGTGTAGGGTCTTGTCCTCTGGGGCCCACAGCTGGTTGTATCTGTGTAGACACAGCAAGACCTGGTGTGAGGCTGTGGGGTGGGATGTTGTCTAGGGTTTGGGTGTGAAACTTCCCTGTGTTTAGGTGCTGGCCCTGGTGTTTAAAATGGCACACAGTGCGGCACTGGCCAATCAACCAAGCCAGTCTTGGGGCTAGCAGTGTATCTCCCAGCTGAAGGAGGGTGGGAGCTGAGCTGTTGATCCAAGTACCTAGGGGGATGCACAGGACTAAGGGGGCACACTTGCCATCTGCTGGGTTGGGAATGTTGTGTTATGGGGACCATTGGGGACTTTATGACTGGGCAGAATGGCAGGAGGGGCATGTGTGTGTGTAGGACCTGGCAGTGCTCACAGGTGAGGCATGAAGTAGCTGGTACTAGACAGGGCTGCTGTCAGGCTAGAGACCCTTTCAGGGTCATTGGCCTCCAGTCTCATGCCCGCCCATTTGCAGTGGAGCCTGGGAGTGGGTTCCTTCCTAGTAAGCCTTTACAGGCATTGCCCAGGGGCTCAGGAGTACACAGAAAGCTGGTAGCATAACCCACTCAGCTCAGAACCTTTGTGGTCTCCTTTGAGAGGCCAGAAGGAGGCACTGTGGGATTGCTGTCCTACGAGGCATGACTATCTGAGGAAGCTAGCAGGCTCCAGTGCAGGCAGTCCACTATGCAAAGTGTCCCTGACTGGACCTCCTGGACTCTACCCTGTAGGTCCCAACCTGCCAGTAAGCTCCTTGGGTTAATTCTCCACCCACACATCTCTGCACCTTTCCCTCCACAGAGGTGACATGACCAAAGGCCTGGGTGCAACCTGCCAGGTGCCCTGCTGACCCAGAAGAAGGCAGCATAAAGGTCTGGGCTCAGGGATGGACCAAGCCCAGGCCCCTCCTATGGTCTGCAGAGTCCCTCTAATCTGAGCTTCATCTCTGTATGGAGTTATGCCCCATAAAGGTCCTTCTGTATCCTCCTGGACTCCTGAAATGGGGCTGACCTTGACGTCTTGGGCCATTGAGTTAGCCTCATGTCACCTGCTAGAAGGTGGTACCTGTCCTTCTGAATATACATGCCTGCTGGGTGCTCTGCTCCTGATCACCCTCTTAGATACTTGAAGGTAGCTGTAAGGACCCTGGACCTGAGGGATTGGGGGTACAGCTCAGTAGTAGAGCACTTGCCTGGTATGTGGAGGACCCTGGGTTCCAGCCCAAAAAATAGACCGTATCTTTCTTGGGTAGTTCCTTCTACAACAGAGGGGTGGCGAGTAGCTCAAGTGGTAGAGCACCTGCCTAGCAAGTGTGAGGCCCAAAGTTCAAACCCCAGTACTGCCAAAAGATAGAACTGCCTCATCTGAAAATAGGTTTGATGTGAACAGTGTTGGGTAGGGTGTGGCCCTGAGTTCCTGGAGGGCTCTTGGCCTTTACCCTTTGGGCCTATCTACTGGAGGTGGTTCTGCCAGGCTGACCTAACTAGCAAACTCAGCCCTGAGTTCAAACCCCAATCCCACCAAAAGAAAAATCAACAGAATGATGAATGACTGGAGGTGTGGCTCAAGCAGTAGAAGGCCTGCTTTGCAAGCATTCCACCTTCATCCATGTTGGGTCAAATGGGACCAAGAGCAGGCCCACAGCCAGCTGACTCCTACCCCCAGAGACTCCCACTTAATGAATTTCTTGCTATCTGCCCTTGGTTAGGCATCCACCCTGAGGCACTGGCTGTATGCCAAGGACTCGGGTATAACATTCTGTGGGCATTGATCCCTATCCAGAGTCTGGCTGGTGTTAGTAACATTGTCCAACTATCTCAGCTACCAGGGTCTCCTTAAGTGGCCCAAGCAGACAAACAGTCCTGCTGTTTGCGGTGGCTCACTCCTGTAATTCTATGTACTTGGGAAGCTGAGATCAGGAGGATCATGGTTCCAGGCCAACTGAGGCAAATTGTTCACATGACCCCATCTCCAAAGTAACCAGAATAAAATGGACTGGAGGTATAGCTCAGACAGTAGAACACCTGCTTTCCTGCTTTGCAAGCGTGTAAGCCCTAAGTTCAAATGCCATCCCTAACAAAAAACTTAATCATTTGCTTCAAGGCTGGGATTACAGGCCTGTAGTACCACATCCAGCTGTCCTATAGCTTATAAACAAACCTGATCGATTTGAGGATCCAGTTAAGAGATCTTCCTGAGTTCCCTGGCCTAGGATTTGTAAAGACCACTTTTCTTAAAGGGCCCAGACTTGGGTGTATTTCCTGTTTTCTAAGATTCTCCCGTCTCTGGCCACCCTTTCACCGAATTTCCAGCACTTCCCGAGTTCACAAATTATAGACTGCTACCACTGTTTATGATCCTCTTCTTTGAAGTATCTTCAGTCCCTCTGAGCTCTGGGCCTCCTCTTCCTGGTTGGGGCTGGCTTTTGCTCTGTGCCTTGCCAGTAACAGGTTCCTAACCCTGTCTTACTAGTGGCCGTGGTGCATAGGCAGACTGCAGCCTCCCATCCTTCACCCAGTCCACTCCTTCCTGGGCTGTTACACAGACCTGGGGACGTTGTGACTATGGCTGCTTCCCCTGTCACCTCTGCCCCCCAGTTTGTTTTCTGTCACCTTTTTGATGTGATCACTCTGATAGTGACTAAAGTCTTGGTTACAGCAAATGAGATACAAGCAGCCGTGGACATAGCTGAGTAACCTGCAGTGACTTGGGGCAATCCTGGGAGGCCACTACTTTTGCTTAGAAATTTGTGAAGATGTAGCTGTTTGTCCAGGGCTACTTCTGCATTCTAACTGTAGGATCTGTTAACTCTGTTTTTAATGAAGTATATCTTGGGAGTCACTGGTGTATTTTAGCTGTGAAAGCCATTTCTGCATCTCTACTGAGTCCAAGGCCTTTCCTTGGTGTGGCCCCTAGACCCCTGACAAAACATCTGGGCTTAGACACCAACACGGGCACGGCCAGCTGTTCATTGCCCTTGCTTCAGCCTTGGCCTCAAAAACTGCTTGGGGCTTTAGAAGACAGTCTTTTCTCTAAGTGCCTGTTAGGCAGACACGGCGGGTTTAGTCTGCATTTTCTGTGTCCCGCACAGCTAAAGAATTGCTGGGCGCTCAGAGGCAAGGCTGGACTAACCAGTTCTGGGGTCCAGGAATTGTTTTCCCAATGTACATCACAGGCCAAACTGGAACCACAGGACACAATCCCTTATCCACATAATCCAGCCCTAAAGCAGCCTTGGGGGGACGGATTTCACTTTAAGTCAGGAGTATTTTCTTAACCTTTGTTGGAAGTGGGATCAGAGTGGGAACCTCGATGTATGTGTGTTTCTCCTGCTGGAGCCAGGCAGATTACAGGTGCATCACAGGAGCCTTGAATGCAGTGCCCCTGCACGGACAGTCCAGAACCCACCACCAGGGTGGATACCTGGGGCTGTCCTGAGCAAGCCTGGGCTGGTAACTCACAGGGTGCTGTGTTTAGGTGGATGGGGGTGCAGTGAGCCTTTACTAAGTGCCCTTTGACCCTAGTTTGTGTTTAATCTGCAAATTGGTCTCAAGGTTTTCTGTCCCCCTCTGTGGCTGAGCGAGGGCTGGGCCATCGTGTGGGGGGGGTGCAGGGCCATTCCCTCAGCACGTGATCCCCGCCCGGGTAACACTGGCCAGGGTGCAAGTTGAGGCCCCAGCAGCGTCTTGGGTGCTCTGTAGGGATCAGATTTCCTGGGGGGGGGGGTTGGCTCTGGCAGAGTGACCTTCGGAGTCGCGTCCCAGGCCATGGAGTGGAGGTGGCTGCTCGGCTGGTCCCTGGGCGACGCAGCGACAGGAAAGCGCCCCAAGCTAGTTTGAGTTGCTGCGGTCGCTTTAAGACGCGTCCGGCGGGTTGGGGGCGGGCCTTGAGGCCCCTCCCACCGAGGCGGAGTCTAGAAGGACCCGCCCCCGGGGTGCGCGGGCGCGCGGTGGCACTTTGAACCGGGCTCTCGGCCGTTGCGGCCGGAGTCGTGGTCCGGACCGGGTTCAAGGGAACCGGCAGCCGCTGCTCCGGCCATGGCGGCCGAGGAGCGCGTGTCGCGCTGGTACTTCGGGGGTCTGGCCTCCTGCGGGGCCGCCTGCTGCACGCACCCACTGGACCTGCTCAAGGTGAGGCTGGGCCCGACGCCGAGGGCGCGCGGAGGGCAGCGAGGCCCCGCCCGGCCGGGCGCCGCAGGACGCTTGCTCCGGCCGCAGCCTGGCAGGGCATTTTGGTGATTACCCCGGCCGCCGGGTGAAGGAAACTGCGACGCCCACGGCCGCCTGGGCCGCGGTCACTGCTCTGTCCCGGAGGACTTTGGGCGAGGCTCCATGAATGTCTACGGGCTGGGGGTGGAGGATCTCTGGGGACCCTCTGCAGGTGGCAGCGCGGCCCTGAGAGGACAGCCCTCCCTCCTCAGTTTACCAGCTGGCTCCCCCATTCTTGGCAAGTGGCCGTCCATCCCCAGCTCTGCGCTCCAATACCTGAGTAAACTTGGCCTTTTCGTTTTATTTACTTACTTATTGTGGTACTGGCGTTTGAACTCAGGGCCTTCACCTGGAGCCACTTTACCAGCCCTTTTTTGCGATGGGTTTTTTCGAGATAGGGTCTCGCGAACTATTTGCCCAGGCTAGCTTCGAACCACTATCCTCCTGATCTCTGCCTCCTGAGTGGCCAGGATTACAGGCATGAGGCACCGGCGTCCGGCAAACTTGGCCTTTCTGACCCATTCATCGGGCCCCAAACATTTTACTACAATTTGATTAAAAGATGGGAGGGTTGGAGGGGTGCCCTAGGGACTTGCCTGGCCCCAGCGCACCCAGGGCACTGGCCAAGCCGCCTGCACCTGGTGAATACTTGCCATCTGATGTGGAAGAGGAAATGGGCTAGGTGAGTGGTTTGATCCTTGCCCCCCAGCTTCCCCCAGAGTGGTGAATGGGACGGGGAGGGACATTAGAACCAGCACAGCTCCAGGTAAGATGCCAAGAGACCCTGAATGAAAGGGGCTCCAGCCCCATAAGAATGAGCATCTCAGCACTAGAAACATATATGCTTTCTTCTTTTTTTTTTTTTTTTTTTCCTTTAAAAAAAAAAAATGCTTATAGGGCAAAATAAGACAGAGCTCCTCTTGTTTCCCAGGGCCAGCTGAGGGAGTGTTTTTGATCCTGGCTCACTACAGAGAACAAAGAGAGGGCTCGAGCTTTACTCTCGCTGCCCAGGGGTCTCTGTCCTGTGTTCACAGGGTGGCCTGTGAGCAGGGTGCAACTGACCTGGTCCCCTCGTTCCCCCTTACCACCTCCCACATGCCTGGGCCGGTGAACCTGTGTTGGGGCCTGCCACTGCAGGAGCATCTGTGTACCTCAGCCTGGTCCTCTATTTCCTGAAGAGGGTTGGGCTTTTCTAATTAGTAAGGACACTGGCTGCCGGGTGCAGATTGTTGCTGAGACCTCACTTGTCCTGGGAGGGGCCTTCCATAGGTCTAGACACTGGGGCCAGGAAACTGCTCTGGTTGCCTGAGAGTTGGAGCAGTAGCCAGCAGGAAGATACAGTTTGCTTGGAGAACAGGCACCCCATCCTTCAGGCTGTTCTTCTAAGTCTTCTGGAACTGCCCACAGGCCCCCTCCCCCACTCTGGGGTCAGGCTGATGTCTCTGACCTGTCAGTGAGCTCTGGAGGCCTCACACCACCCCCTCCTCCCAGTCAGCCCTTCTGGGAAGTTGGCAGGCAGTAGGTAATCTGGCATTGCTTGCTGTTGTCCACTGTCCAAGGCCTCTTTGGGCGTCACTGCTCCTGGACCTGCCCCCACCCAGGTGCTCTGCACGCTGCCTAGAGCCATCAAGGAAAGCTGCCACCAAGTGGAGCGGGAGCACCCTCTGGCACTGGGGAGCATGTGGCCCCATGCCAGTGAACAGTGGGCAGCAGTGTCCAGCTGCAGAGGAGGCTGTGGTCAGGGTTTTGTTCTGACAGCTGCTTACTGGGACCATTCGAAAAATTACTTTTTTGTTTTGTTTCATTTTGTTTTTTGAACAGGCTCTCACTATGTGTCCAGGGTTGTCCTTGAACCCAAGATCTTCCTTCCTCAGCCTGCCAAGTGCTATATAGGCTTGTGCCACCATGCCCAGCTTTGAGAATTTTTTTTTTTTTTAAAGTATAACTCAGTCTATGGAGAGAAGTTGTTTTGAAGCTTCTCGGGCTGTCCACTTTACCCCATATTCTGGCTTGGTCCTGCTGCCCATGTTACCACTCTTCCTCCTGTCTAGTCCCTCTGCCCTGCCCAGCTCACACTGAGCTCCTGTTGCTGAGCCAGGCTCCAGGCCCCCTCTGACCCCACCCATCTTTGCTGTCAGGAGCCTCTCCCTATCTTTGATAGCACTGAGCCCACAGGATCATTGTGGGGGGGTCTCAAAGTGGTTGATTCTGTAAAAGGTCTCAGCAGAGCTGACCTGTGTCGGGGGGCGGACAGCAGCCCTTTGCGCCTCGTCTCTGCCAGCCTGTGGCTGGGAGGTTAGCGCCCTGTTCTGCACCAGTGTGACCCCCACCCTACCACAGGTGCACCTGCAGACACAACAGGAGGTGAAGATGCGGATGACCGGCATGGCGCTGCAGGTGGTGCGCTCTGACGGCATCTTGGCACTCTACAACGGCCTGAGCGCCTCGCTGTGCAGACAGGTGCGGTGCCAGCCTTGGGCTCTCCTCCCAGGCCTTCTGTCCCCACAAAGCGCTTCCTTTCTTTTGCGCTGAAATCCACCTCCAAGGGCCTCCCAACCCCTCCCCGACCAACTCTCAGGTTCTGGTCCCAGAACCCAGGGTGGCAGATGTGCCTGTTGGGGCTGGAGCAGCTCCTATCTCGCTCCTCTGAGCCGTGCCCCTTTCCCAGATGACCTACTCCCTGACAAGGTTCGCCATCTATGAGACCGTGCGAGACCGCATGTCCAAGGACAGCCAGGGGCCTCTTCCCTTCTACAGCAAGGTGCTGCTGGGTGGCTTCAGCGGTGAGTGCCAGGTAGGAGGGGCCGGACCCGGGCCAGGAGTGGGGGCAAGGGGAATCTTCACGTGTTGGCTCTGGCATTTGTGTCACCCCAGGTTTAACTGGAGGCTTTGTGGGGACCCCTGCAGACTTGGTCAATGTCAGGTTTGTGTGTACCCCTTATCTCTCAAGGTCATGGGCTTTCCCATCCCCAAACAGGCAGAGGACTTGCCCAGGTTACTTGCTGGAGTCTCCAGCATGATCAGTCTGGAAAAAGCCACTCGGGCCCTGGAGCCCTGGACGTGGAGGGTGGACAGCCCTGGGTCCCAGCAGAGTGAATTCACCACTGCCCTTGGGTCTTTGAGGGACCTGTGTGTCCAGCATGTCCACTTTACCTGCTTCTCTGATTCAGGATGCAGAACGACATGAAACTGCCCCTGAGCCAGCGACGCAAGTGAGTAGTGGGCTGGGCTTTTCCCTGGGGGCCAGTGAGGTCAAGAGGCCTAGGCCAGCATGGACCCCTGAGCAGCCAGGACTGCAACAGCCTGCACTGTCCATTGTTTTTAAACAAATACTGTGCATGGTTCCTCTGTCCCCCAAGACCTTTGGGTTCTTTTCTTGTAGGAAGAATCTCGCTAGGTTCGGGGCTGCTCCCCAGGCTAGCCTGTCTGGAACCTGCTGACGCTTGGGGCAGTCTTGTGGGGCTTGACCAGTGCAGCCACACCTAAGGCATAGGGTGTGAGACTCATGCTCACACACACAGGCTTGGAGTAGCAAGTGACCCATCTGTCCACTCCCACAGTGACCACCAGGAGCAACACGGTGGGGTTGGGGGTCATGCCCCTTGTTCTTCCCTCTAGCCTCCTCTCTGACCATAATCTGAGCCATCTCACCTCCCCCCTTAGGGACCCAAGGAAGTTTCTGGTGTTTTTGTTTGTTCCTTTGTTTTTGATTTGTTTTGGAGGGTGTGTGTGCGTTACTGGGGATTGAAGTCAGGGCCTCGCTCTTGCTAGGCAAGTTCTCTACCGTTTGGGCTATGCCCCCGCACTCTTCCTGACTTCTTGTTGGTTCATCTTAGACCTACCATCCTGGAGGGCAGAGCCACACAAACTTAAGGCTCTGGGGGAAGAGGGGACCTCCATTCCTGGGACTGGCAGGGCAGGGTGACCAAGGCTTCGCCCACAGACAGGACCAGCCTAAGCAGAGGGGCTGCAGTTCATTTCCTCAATCCTGTCCCTGTGATGCTTCTACAAGAGCCACGTGGCCTGTGGTGTGGGTGGGGCTCTTCCCGGGACTGGGGAGGGGTCCCCCTTGGAGCTGGTGGACAGGATGAGCCTCGTGCTGCCTGTTGTATACCCCGCAGCTATGCACACGCCCTGGATGGCCTGTACCGCGTGGCCCGCGAAGGTGAGAGGACAGGCCTGCGTGGGAGGGCATGCGGGAGAGGACACAGGACAGTGGGGATGACTGGGCTGGGAACCCATGCCCAGCCTCATCCTCTTCCTGCAGAGGGTCTGAAGAAGCTGTTTTCAGGCGCGACCATGGCATCCAGCCGTGGGGCCCTTGTCACTGTGGGGCAGGTAAGGCTCTTGCGCAGGGCAGGCCTTGTGGGCAGTGTCTGTAACCTCTGACTTCCATCCTCAGGAGTCACAGTGCGTGACAGTGGGCATGACAATCCCTTCTGCCATCTCTGGGGGTGTGGGGGGTAAGCACAGATGGCTAAGGGCTGTAGCCTGGGTGTGACATTGGGCAGGTCCTTCCCATCTGGGCCTTTCCTGCCTGCCCAGGTCTGGTGATATAGGTGATGTGTAGATGTTGGTCCTGCCTGGCAATGTCACCGTGGGGCCCTGTATGCTTTCCCCGAGCTGGAGGCCATTCTTGGGCCCTGACGGTCCCTGTTCCCCCTTACAGCTCTCCTGTTATGACCAGGCCAAGCAGCTGGTCCTCAGCACTGGATACCTGTCCGACAACATTTTCACTCACTTTCTCGCCAGCTTCATTGCAGTGAGTGGTAGGAGTGGCGGGGTGGGGCCTGACCTAGCCTTGGAGCTGAGGACAGCCAGGATGAGGCCAGGGTTTGAGGAGCTCCATGAGGCGGGTGAGCCGCTGGTGCCTCTCTGGAGCCACCTTTGTGGGTGCCGAGGCCTTGAGAGCCTACAGCTCAGCCCTGGCTAGGACAGCCCCTCATGCTCCCCAAGGCCCACCTGCAGCCTCGGACACTACCTGGTAGTTTTTGGGCAAGGGACTCTTTTTGAGCTGGCCTGTGGGTGGGCGGGCATGCAGTGAGGGTGCCTGGGTGGCTACAGACCCATTGATGATGAGCCCCCTCCCCAGGGTGGTTGTGCCACATTCCTGTGCCAGCCCCTGGACGTGCTGAAGACCCGTCTGATGAACTCCAAGGGCGAGTATCAGGTAAGGACTAGGGCGCTATAGGCTGCCAGGGCCAGGCTGAACGTCCTGCCAGTCGCTACCATGCTCCAGGTTGCTGGCCTCCTCACTCTGAGCCTTGGCCCCTTCATCCCGGGAATGCAGACACTGCCCATCTGTACGTAGGGACCAAGGGACAGGGCTGTCCCCCCATCATGTTTTCTCTTCCAGCTGCTCACCTCTGGGTGGCCCTTGGCTGGGGAAAGAGCTATGCCTTTCCAACGCTTTTGCCTTGTTTTTTGTTTTTTTTAAGCCAAATTTCCTTTAAAATTAATGGAGTAATTTATAATTAACATAGTCAGTAGAATTTGGCCCCCTGTACCCAGTGAGCATGCTGCTCCCAGCTTCCCCAACCCCTACTATGTGTCCATGTTCCTGGGTGCCTATTTGTCCCTTGCTTTTCTTCCTCATCCCACAGTATCACAGATGATCAGGGTGCTGTTCACAGCTCCCTCCTACCTGCCATATGCCTACCAGTCATTGGGATGGACCTTCAAGCCCTGGTTGACTATGTCAGTGGACCTGGCGGCTGTCGACCTGGCTTGCATACCCTTGACTTTGTGATCCTGGTTCCTGGTTAATGCCATAGGTTGCTGTCCTTGAGGACACTCAGTCATACCCGTTGTCCTCACACCCTTCAGTGAAAACCCTCATAACCCATCTGCGTCTCTTGCAGGGTGTTCTCCACTGTGCCATGGAGACAGCAAAAGTTGGACCACTGGCCTTTTTCAAGGTGTGGTGGGGTGGCAGGGACGATGTGTTCCGGGCAGTGGGACCATGTCCCTCTGGGCTCTCCACATCTCCATCTCCTGTGTCTCCACCCAGGGCCTCTTTCCCGCCGCCTTCCGTCTCGTCCCCCACACTGTGCTTACTTTTGTGTTTCTGGAACAACTGCGGAAAAATTTTGGCATCAAAGTGCTGACCTGACCTGACGGCACAGGGACAGCTGGGCTGTGCCTGGCTACCACCCCAGGCTCTTTGGAATCCTCCTTCCCTTCCCATCCCTTGGGCTCCTGCCCTGCCTGGGCCAGGGCTCACTCCAGTGGCCTTTGTTCCCTCCCTGCACCCACTGGAGTGAGTGGCATGTCCACTTCACCTGCTCTGGAGTCCTTCTCACTAAATGTTTGCCTCGTTCTTTCTTCCCCAGTGATGATTCACTCAGGAGAAAGGCGAAGAGCAGTCCCCAGGCTGGTCCTCACCCTGCCCAGGCGCTTGCATGGTTCTGCCCAGTGAGCAGTTAAGAACTGGGCTGAAGCTCCATCTTCCAGCAGCTTCCACCCATGACTTGAGTGGCAGGGTGGGTGTGTGGACCGCAGCAGCTGCCCACCAGACTGCGTGAGCAAGTGCACTCTTAAGTCATGAGAGGGACATAGCTGTAGCAGCCATGAAGACCCTGCCCCAGGAGAAGGAGACACCATTTGGAACACCAGCAAGTGCCAGAATGGGAGGGTCCAGGGTAGGCATCTGAGGTCTCTGTGCACCCCGCCCTCCCATGTCCAGCTCCAGCTGCTTAACGGTCAGTTTTGCTGAGGCTTCTCAATGCCAGCAGGCTGCTGCTGTCTTCAGGGGCTGCATTCTCCCCTCCCAGCTCCTTGGGAATGAGGCCACAATGTTGGAGGCCACACTGGCAGAGGTGGGGGCAGCAGAGGGCAGAGAACCCTCTATGGTTTTTCTCCCCGTGTAGCAGGTGGTCACCCTCACAGTCTCCTAGCAGCCAAAAAAAAAAAAAAAAAAAAAAAACCACCACCAAAGCAGCCTGTTTTCCACATACCGGGTTGGACCCAACCTGGGGGTTGAGCACAGGCATGTCTGCCCACCCTGGCCTTAAACCTCAGACAGGCCAGTGGGCCTAGGGGCCGTGCTCACACAGCTCTTCAGGGGATCTAATAATAAAGGAGAGTGACCTGCTCCATGTGTCCCCTCTCATTACTTGTCCACTGCACCAAGGTGCTTATTATCTTTGACTGCCCAGGGGCATCAGGAACCCTTCTGCACCTCTGAAGGGTGGTTCTCTGGTGTACGGGGGCAGGGCCCAGGTCCTGGTGGGAAGATGCCCTGGCCCTGCCTGCACACAGGCAGAGAAATTGGGGTGCAGAAGGGAACCCCTGACACCTGGTCATTTTTCTTTGTTCATGTTTTGGTGTCAAATCTCATAATCCTTTGCTAAATCTGATGTCATTAAGATCTAGCCCTGTGTTTTCCCATTAGATATTGGAAGAGGCTGGGTATTTTGGGTCATTCCTGTAATCAGTCTTGGCCTAGTAAGCCTGAGGCTCTGAGTTCAAATCCCATACAACCAAAAATATATATATATATTGTGAGACTACCGAGGGTACCATTGGCCACATTTAAAAAAAAAAATTGACTGGCATGTAACCATTTGGTAGAGTGCATGCTTAGCATATGCAAGGCTCAGGGTTCAACCTCCAGACCTTAAAAAACAAAAAACCTACACACACACTACTCTTCAGCAGCTGACTTAAAGTGCCCAGACTTGGTCAATAACTTCAGCTTCCCTTATTGTTTGTCTCACTTCCACCTCAAACCAACAAGAGGAAGCCAGGTATGCTCCCTGACCAATCCCACGGGAGGCTACCTCCAACCTCCCTGGTTGTCAGGGCTCACCTGAGCCCTCCCTGCCTCCACTTCTGCTGTTGCTAGGCAATGGCCAGCCCCTGGCTGTGGCAAGCCCTGGACAAAGAGCCTGCACTGTCTCACTGTCTCCCAGGCATGGTGTGCGCTCCTTCCCACCAGACCTTAGACGTCCTGATGTCTTGCATCCCCAGGTAGCCGAGTGTGTGGTGTGAGGTAAGGGTTCCACCTCCTCCTCCGGTGGATTAGAACTGTTTCAGGGGCCATTTGTTGGGAAGACTGTTTTCTCTGTGTAATTGTCTTGGCACCAGTTGAAGTTTCCTGACAGAAAATCACTGTGTTACTTTTGGTAAACTATAGTCATTCCTTTTTTTTTTAGTGGCACTGGGGTTTGAATCAGGGCTTCACCCTTGCTAAGCCGACTAGAGCTACACCTCTAGCTCTAAAATCACTTTCTTAAGAAAAAAGACCGAGGGTGACAGAATGCTGACAGGTCAGTGCTTGGAGCGAGCCCAGAGGCAAGTGGGAAATTTATCTGCTCTTACCCTCAGGGCCACATAGCCTGTTGAAGGGATCCAGAAGCCAGGGCTAATTGTGGGGCTGGTCCATAACTCCCCGCCCCCAAAGGTGCAGAGCCAGGAGTCCCTAGAGTGGCACTGCCACCAGGGGCTGTCCTCTGGCCTGCCCCAGCCTTGTTTCCCATCTCCTTAGCTGCTGTCTTTGAGGGGGGCAGGGAGGTTTGACCTTGTCCTTCCCCTATAGCCCTGGAGAACCTGTGATTCCTCCCACCCCACCTCATCTCCTGCACCTTTCCCTGCAGGGAAGGCTGCCAGGCCTGGCCCCAACAAACCAGACTGGGCGGTTTCTTGCCTCTAGAGGCTCTGTGTAGGCAGGACTGGCCATGAGGCTGCTAAGGAAGGAGGTTGGGTGAAGTGCCAGCTTCCAGCGGGGGTGGGGTGGGGTGGGGTGGGCGGAGCCCTGGCTGCACTGCAAATCAAAGCAGTTTTGAGAACGCGAGACTTTGTCACCTCACCCACCCCAGAGCTGGGTGTCTAACCTAGAGCATACTGCTATCCTATCCAAGTTACAGGCCAGACTCCACAACCCAGGAAGCCCACCCTGAGATAAGATGAGGCAGTGGGGACTGTGAACCACACCTGGTTTTGTTGCCAAAGAGTGGGACCCAAACCCAGAAATGTGGGATGGGAGAACAAGAGGTACAGCCCTTGACTGGACTCTGTTTACATAAAACTAACTCTCGAACTCTTAATCTGTGTGTCATGGTGCACACAGGAGGAGGAGGCAGGAGCTAGAGTTTAAGGCCAGCCTGGAATACACAGTGTAAAAAAACACCAAAAATCCCACGGGGCAATCTAGGAAACTTGAGCCCCGACTTCACGTGTGAGGATATGAGAGCGCTATTACTACCTTTTTTCTTTATATCCTGGGGATGAAACCCATGGCCTCCCATGGATTCTAGGCAGGTTCTCTACCACTGAGTCACATTATTACATCTTCATGTGTTAAGAACCACTACTGTAGTTACGGCAAGTATATCTATTTTTTTCCTTTTTGGTAATACGAACTCAGAGCCTCATTCTTGATTGGCAGGCGCTCTACCACTTGAGCCATGGCCCTTTTTGCTTTAATTATTTTTGAGATAGAGTCTGGTTTTATGGCCTGGCCAGCCTGGACTAGGATCCTCCTATTTGCACACTTACCCACATGGCTGGGATGGGAAGCACACATTACCACCTTGCCCAGCTTTTATTGGCTGAGATGGGGTCTCTTAAAGTATTTGCCCAGGCTGGCCTCAAACCGCAGTCCTGATTTCCTAAATAGCTAGGATTACAGCAATGAGCCATGGCTGTTCTCTTCCAGTATCTCAGAAAAAAGCATAGGGTTAAATCTTAATGACATCAGATTTGGCAAAGTATTCTTAGATTTTTTTGTTTTGTTTTTGGTTCTGGGGTTTGAACTCAGGGCCTTCACCTTGAGCCACTCTACCAGTCCTTTTTTGTGATGAGTTTTTTTGAGATAGGGTCTCAGGAACTATTTGCCCAGGCTGACTTTGAACAGTGATCCTCCTGATCTCTGCCTCCTAAGTAGCTAGGGTTACAGGCGTGAACCACTGGCACCTGGCAGAATTCTTAGATTTGACACCAAAACATGAGCAATGAAAGAAAAAACAGCTGGGAGCCAGTGGCTCAAGCCTGTAATCCTAACCACTCAGGAGGCAGAGATCAGGAAGATCACTGTTCGAAGCCAGCCTGGGCAAAATAGTTTCTGAGACCCTATCTGGAAAAGCCCATCACAAAAACAGGGCTGAAGGAATGGCTCAAGTGGTAAGAGTTCAAGCACCAGGACCCAGGTAGTGACACTGGGATTTGAGCTCGGATTCCTGCTTGCCTGGAAGGCTGATATCTGGAGGATCATAGTTCAGAGCTAGCCTGGGCAAAAAGTGAGACCCTCCATCTCAACAGAAAAGCCAGGCGTGGTGTGTGACTGTCATCCCAGGTACACAGGGAGGTGTAAATAGGATTGTGGCCCTGGTGAAAATTCAAGACCCTGTCTGAGCACAATCCCTGAGCTCAAAACCCAGTATTGCGGGGGAAAAAAAAAAAAAAAAAGGACCTAGGCGGGGGCAGTGACATCCCTGTAGTCCCAGCACTAGGGGAGACTGGGACAGGAGGATGGCTTGAGCCCAGGAGTCCAGACCAGCCTGGGCTACATAGCAAGACTCTGGTTCAAAATCAGCTCCTCACCAAAACAAAAATCCCCAAGAGAAATACAAAGACGAGAACAAAACAAAGCACCCCTCTGTCCACACTGCCCCAGTCCAGCCATCTCCAGGAAGTGATGTAGACTTGATAAAACTGCTAAAATGAGGCTGTGGCATGGTGAGTATTGAGCGTTTTGCTTAGAAGGAGGAGAATATGCTTAAGTTTAAGCAGAATTTGATTAAAGGAAAATATCAAGCAAACCATGCTGCTTCCTTTGTGCCTGGTACGATGTGGTATGATGGGTGTCTGAGGACACCTTGTGACATTCTGTCCAGCAGGGCCCATTTCGCTCCCGTCCTTGACACAGCCCTTAATGGGATTTTGGGGTTGTGGTGGAATCAGCACAGAGGGCAGAGCAGAAAGGACTTTGAGGGTGGAGCAGCCTTTTCCTGCCGATGTTGGGAATGAATGTAGGGCCCTGAGTATCTTCCCATCTTCTTGGAATTATTTAATCTATCAGCAGTGGGTTTTTGTTTTTTTTATTTATTTATTTTTTGGTGGGACTGGGATTTGAACTCAGGACTTTGCTCATGCAAAGCAGGCACTCTACTCCCTGGGCCATACTTCCAAGTCTGTTTTGCTCTGGTTATTTTGGGGATGGACTCCCATGAACTGTTTGCCTCTGTGGTCCTGATCTTGGCCTTCCAAGATCCTTCCAAGTAGTAGCTAGAATTACAGCTATCAGCAGTTTTAATTAGTTTTGCATATTTTTTTCAATACTGAGGTTTGTATTTTTGCTTTTTTATGTAACTCATGTCCCACAATTCCAAGTCCAGAAGTGCTGAGTGATGAAGGGTTTTCTTAGGGCAGGGGCTTCCTTCCCACCCAACCTAGCTGTGGCTCCTTCACCAAGGAAACAGCCCTGTCCCAGAAATTCCCCCATACAAGAATTTAGCAGAAGAAACAAAAAAACAAATGAAGTCAGAGGAAGCTCTAGTCTTCAAAAAAATACTTTGCATAAGGGATGTTAGCTCCTGAGAGATGATGGAAAATTTAGAGAAAATAAGCCCTGTGGATTTGCTCTCTTCCTCCTGCTCCTTGTCTTCCTCCTCCTCCTCACTCTCTCGTCCTTCACCTTCTCCCTCCCCTCCTTCTCCCTCCCCTCCTTCTCCTCCTCCTCCCTCCTCCTCCATCTCCCTCCTCCTCCCTCTCCCTCCACCTTCTCCTTCTCCTCCTCTACCTCCTCCTTCTCTCCCCCTCCTTCTCCTCTCCTCCTCCTCCTCCTTCCTTTCCCCCTTCTCCCTTCTTCCTAACTGTGGACAGCAGGAGACACCAGAAAGAGTAGGCACAACATTGCACACAGTGTCCCACAGGACCAGTCCAAGGGACCAGTGCCCCTCCACTGTCCA